TGGTAAATTTTTAATCACTTCAGGCCTATGAAACTGGGCAAACTCTGGCTGGATTGCTCTTCCAGCTCGTAAGCTGGATTCTCATATTTCGTCTTTTTCATCTTCGTTTCTTTTTTTTTCACCTGTTTGATTTGATTTGATACTTTTTTTCTTTTGTATATATTAGGTCCTCTCTGTGAGACCATCAGTGAGTGCAACGTCCCTTGCGAGAATGGACGCTGTACTGAGAGTCCAAATGAGTGTGAATGCTTTCCTGACTGGGAACCTCACGGAAAATGTACAAAATATGTCGGGGCTTGTTCCGATTGCCATTCTGAAGGAGGGACCTGCGAATACGGGCCAAACACGTGCCAGTGTAAACCAGGTTTGGGCCTCTGCGAATTTTGTTTTATTTTCTTTTTGTCACATAGTAGTCTTCTTCAACGCCGTTATTTCTCGGAGAGATAAAAAAAGGAGAGTAAGTAAGAGAACTTGTGCATAGTTGCAAAAGCAACGACCCTTGAATCAAATTTACCTTAAACATCCTGATGAAAAGAGAAAAGAAATTCCGTGGTTGGCTGCGACTGACGAATTTATTTCCTTTTTTTAATTGCAAATCAGAATTTCCTTTGTCTTTGAAAAACGCTTTGTTCGCCTTCCAGAAGTATACTCAAGTAGTTCTGACAGCATCCTACCAGGCCAGGTACAATCAAATTTATTTTAAGCAGCCTGATGAAAACAGAAAAGAAATTCCGAGGTTGGCTTTGGAAAGCTGCGACTAAAGAATTTATTTCCTTTTTATTACATGGCAAATTTTCCTTTGTGTATGAAAAACTCTTAGCTCGCTTTTCAGAAGTATACTCAAGTTTGGCAGGGCAGGGTACAAAGATAAGGAGAGAGTAGAACTTATGCAAGGGGCGAGGAAGTGCAAAAGAAAAGAATTATCTCCCGATCTCGCTGATTGCACTTCACGCTACAATTTTATTCTTGCACTTATCTTCCTTTGTATGTCGGCCTCGCTAACCCAGGCAATGAGTATTTCCACATTTGTGATAATTTTAGGAACTCAAGTGAATCTTAAGTGGCACTTAAATTAGTTACCTGTAAAACACAATATGGAAGGACTGCTAAATATCCAAGTAACTTATGCTTCAGCTTTTTTTCTTCAGGATATACCGGTCTTTCATGCGAACATAGGAATTGTGATGGTTGCGAGAATGGCTCATGCGACTTCGACCATTCGGGTTTAAAGAGATGCCACTGTGACGAGGGTTGGGCTAATCAAGTCCATGTCCCTGGCTTTAATGCTCATTTCGGACCGTGCACAAAAGTCAAACACTGCTTACCACCATGTGTACATGGCTCATGTCCAAATGATCCATACAAGTGTGAATGTGCTGATGCTTATACCGGCAGAGAATGTGATAGGATTCAATGTCCAGTGTGCTGTCCTCCTCAGACATGTGACTGCTCCGAGCCAAAAAATCCAAGGTGTCTTCCTCACTGGCATCATGACTGTTGCTTGGTAAATTCCTGCTTTAGAGGCGACACCTTGGTACATACTGCTAATGGAATGGTACCCATAGAAAAAATCAAAGAGGGAGACTTGGTAATCGTTCGCCATGAAGACGATGCTCCTGCCATGAGCTACTTGCGTCGCGTCGACCAAGTTCGGAAGAGGTTATTTCGTGCAAAGGATCTCGTCGTGTTCCGAACAGAGGACGAAGTTATATGGGTAACTCCCGACCACCTTTTTTTCGAAAGCCCAACAAATTCGTGGATGAGTGCCAAGAAGATAAAAACGTCACATCTGCTTCAGGCCTTAAACGGAAAAATGGTAAAATTTCAGAGGCTCCTAACTGGGTCAGAGCTGTTACCATCAGCTGACCAAGACGAACTCGTAGCCGTTTACGACATCTCAGTGAATGAGTACGATCGATATTCTGTCGGAAAAAAAGGAATTCTCACGGCTTCGTGTAACAGCACGGATGCTATCAAGACTCGAGACGAACAAGTGTGGGGTAATTCAATGATCCGAATCTTTCGTACTACGGACGCTAAGACGGTGAGAATTCAGAACTTCCTAGAACCAAATCAAGAGTTGTTCATCTTAAAAAGATCATTTAGATCCTATCCTTTTGGTGTATTTTAATCTCTGTATCTAGTGCTGGTCGTCCCCGGTGGTCCCCGGTGGTCCCTAGTTTAAGTTCCCTTCCTTGCCACTCTCCCGATTCGTTCCTAGTTCCCCTGATCGCAGCGCAGCCCCAGTTTACATCCAATTTATGTTCATTTGTAACAGTTATTTCATTCTTTTTTTACACTGGCCCTGAAAAGCCCCGTCGGGAGATTGGTCACCTAAAATATTTAGTCGGTTATATTGTCACCATTATTCTTATATTTCGTTTCTGGCAAACCTCCACAATTTTGTTGTTTTCTTTGGCAGAGTCGAAATAATTTCGCTTAGTTCTTTTAACATGAACAACTTCCCGTGAATGGAAACAACTCAGTGCTGATTTCTCTTTCTTTTTTCTTTTTTTTTCCTATGTTTCTTTTTAAATCATTAACAAAAAGGTTTAAAGCAGATGTCAGATCGGCGGATCGCAGCAATATTTGTGAGAGAGTCTAGAAGAATGTACTTCAAAAAAATAAATTTCCTTCATCATCCGAAATAGACTGAGGGGAGTGGAGAAGAATAGTAAAGGGGGTGAAAGGGATCACGTTCACTGATACCCAGGGCTTCGCCGTCCTACCCCCTTCCCCAGAATTTCTCATTGTCTTGCTTATCATGTGTCCATGTTTTTTTTTTTTATTCAACTAGATTATTCCACCAATTGCAAAGGAAAAAGATCACGCAGGCTTTCCAATCTATGTGGTTGTTATAATTGCTGGTATCCTTGGCGTCATATTGATCATTGTATTAGTGCGAAGGAGGAAACTCAAGGGGAAGTATGACGTAGAGAAGGAGTCCCTGATTGCAGCTAGCACGCATCCACAATAGGCTCCAGAAGCCCTCACCTTCAAAAAGAGGCTATTTGCAAAAGCATATTTGTCAAATGAATGTCATTGGGCTAAGAGTTATCAATGGTTTTCCTTAAAAAAAAAACGCACTTGACTCTGTTTTAAAGCAAAAACTTTGGGTTCTCTTTCTTCCTTTTCAAGCTTCAAATTGTTATGAGATTCTAAGCTTCGAATCCTGCGTCACCCACAAAGTTATTCTTTTGAATATTAATTTTTGCTATCTTATTTCTATCACGAAGTAGAGCATTATGTTGTCTCACGGAACCCCACTTCTACAACCCCTTTTGAGTGCCGTGATAGAAAGGTAACTCTTCCCGCCCCCCACTTAGCAATGTTCGAGCGAGTGCAGTAAGTTTGAGACACGCCGCACTCTTAGTGATCCACAACTCTCACACAGCCATTAAAGGAAAAATAAAAACTAATCGCATTTGTATTAGCTTTGAAAAAAGAGCTAAAAACGGAGATTGGGGTGACTAGTGCTGTATTCACGTTTACAACAAGGCAGGTCTGGTACGCTTAGTTCCCTGCACGCCTCGCAAGGCCGGAAAGGGCGTTGCGTGACGTGACCACACAACGACTGCTAGAAAGACTATGGCACGTATTTTGGTATAGCATCTTTGTGGCTCGTAGTGGACAAAGTATATATGATAAAATGGAATACCTTTTTGTATTTAGGTAAAAATGACTCTATTTCCCGGAAGAAACGGACGAAGAAGAGTTTATTTCGTGATGGCGCGTGGGGCCTGGGGAAGTGTCAACTTGCACGACGGAGTCATTTGTTAAGATTTCTCATGCAGGCGCAGGAAAAGTTATTTGTGATCAAGTTTCTCATGTTTTGTAAAATTTTTTCTCTTGGGAAATATGTGGGCAGTTTTGTGCACAAATTTGTTTCTGGCAATTTTTCTCCTTTTGTGAAGAGTTTTCATATCATTTCCACCCCCCCTTTTTTGAGTAGAATAATGAGAAAAATAAAACATTTTATTGGGATTATATGTCTTCAGTTTTGCTGTTAATTGCATGGAACTTGTAAACGAAACCTTTTGGGCCAGCTGTTTAAACAGAGTTTAGCCGTTGTTTAACAAAACCGCGTCCTAAACAATCCTAATTTTAGCTGAACCTTTTATCTGCACATTTATTTTTGTGATCAGGGCTAGGGCATTTATTTCATTAAATCAACCATCTTACAGAGAAAGCCTAGGACCAGTGATTTGAGTTACTCCTCGCGTAAATGACCGGCCCATTGTATTCCGATATGTTACAAAGCTCAAGAGATTTGAAACTTCAGCAGTTAGGGAAAGGTTTAAATCGCTTATTGTTTTGGTTTTGTTCCTTTTTTTGTTTGTGAAGTGTTGCGGTTTTTTGCAAAATGATCACATTATCCATCTGTGCCCAGTGTCATGTGTTTGAGCACTTTTCTACCATGGGAGCAACAATTTTCATATTAATGAAAATCATCAATTCCTCAATTTGCGTTTAAAATGTTCATATTTCGAGTTGTAAATGGACCATATACTTCCCCTATGACGCGTTCAGATTCTCAACGCGGTTCCTCGCGTAACTTAACTTAGCGTCACACAACGCGTGATGCTGTGATGAATCGATCTTTTGCTTTTTTCTCGAGTTTGGGACGCCTTTGTTTGAACCTTGGAATTCAAAAGAAGTTCCTGTTTACTCCTGAATATCATATGATCTATATAATATGCTTTAATTGCATAAAAATGAACAAAACAGGGTGTAATGTAAAGGGACTTTCCCTGCTTAATTATTCGTGGAAAACGGCAAGGTCATTTATGTTGCAATTCGCCTCGAAAGAATGTAAACACGTAAACTTCCAAGCTTCAAGATAACAAACCAGCTGAAAATTCAGATATACTTTTAAGTGGTTTTGCATTTGTCTCGAGATGACCGGTACCCAGTTGATAATTGGGATAAAAACCTTCCATATGCGCAACTGCGGTCTGCTATATTAACAATCAATATGTTTTTCGGTTTCAAGACTCGGAGGGAACCCCCTAAAAAATTTGAAGACCATGACCTTTGCTCAAGCTATTGCCAGAAAAGATATGGCAAGGAACTCAATATTGCATTGAAGCATTCTGCGAAGGTCTCAAAATTTCTGGATAACAGAACTAATATCAATGACTTTTATGGAGCTTTATGGTAGGTATTTCAAAAGTTGAGAACCCTTATCAAGATGCGGGGTGATATCTAAACGTTTTTTGCGCATTCAGCAGGAAGGTGAAGAAGGGGCTTTCCCCGAAAGCCCAATTCATTTCTGTCCAGCGATTGGCTTATTTTCCCCTGCATGATACTCATGTGATTTTAGCCTCAGACTATTATAATGACGAAAGCCATCAGATTCATCAGCAAATTACTGATACGATTGCAGTGCTGTGGAAAGTGCTAAAGAATAAAAGAAGTTAGAGTGAATCTTCTGTTAGGGGTAAGTTTTGTCAGCCTGCTTAATGTTTATAACGTCGTACAGAACTGTAACTTCTTCTTTTGCTCCCGTCTGCTTTGTGTAGAACCGAAAATATTGCATTCTCAGTTTGCTACTGGACGTAACTTCCGACGTGCTCCCATTCTGTGGTTCAGTTTTCAGTAGTTTGTTCACTTTCAGGACGACCAAATGTCATTTAACCGTTTGGAAATGAAGCAAGTAATTTGCATCATTCCGACACTTTTTTATGAAAACGGACGCTTCAAGAAGCGCTTGCAAGCTGTTAGAGCGGAAGCAATCTATTAAGGAAAATAATTCATTTTCCGAGTTTTAATGAGATCTTTCGCATCCTTTTGAGCTATTTTCACACAGCTTCTAGACCAGCTACTACTGATATTGCAAATTTAGTCTTCTTTCAGTGGGGTGGATAGTATTCGAACTGAACCACAAAATAGAAAGCTGCTTTCTGTGATTCGAAACGAAAAGTAGTTATGTTGGTCATTATCAAAATTTGAATATCAAGAAGAAAAGTCTTCTTGGTGTGCGTCACAGCATGCTTGAAAGAGGTCACGCTGAAACAAATCATTTTCATGATAATCTGTTGAAAATCAGTGCTCAGCCTCATAATTTTTATCTGTTTCGTCGAATTTTCCTGTCAAATGTTTGTTATATTATTGAAACAGAAACCAACACTGAGCTCGGTGCAACGTCTGGGCGCGTCACTTTTCATTTCGCCGAATGACGGAAGTTCTTGATTGTTATTGATTAAATATGACAGCTAAAATAATGACGCCATATCAAAAAAATATATTGCGTTAAAATCTGTTTATCATAATTTTTATCTTTTTCCACGAATTTTCCAGCCAAATTTTTTTAAGAATTAAAACCGACTGAACAAGCTTAAGACTACTTTTTCGCTTAGAAACTATTAAAAAGCCCCAGGCATTGAAACCTTCCGAACGTTTAGCTTTGGATCAGAATGTATAAAATACAAATAATTGTCAATGTCTGTTTGGTTCATAGAATTTTACGGAGCTGCAATGCTGAAGTATGCATACCCTATTATGGGCCTGCTGGTGCTCGTGATAATTGAAGTTGAAAGTGCCTGTCCTCCAGAAACACAGTGTTTTGGAAATGGGGACTACAACTCGGCAGCACAGAGTTGTCATTGTTACTCGAGAAGGCGAACAGGATTATATACAGGAGAATGCTGCGAAAGCATAGGCTGTAAGCCAAACGCTACTTGTAAGCATGGATATTGCGGACCTGACGGCCTCACATGTTCCCGTTGCCAAACGGGATGGAATGGAACCTACTGCGAAAAGGTGGAGTCGTGTTTCCCTTGGTTTCCTTGCAAGCATGGCTCCTGCATTAAGTCCCGGATGAAGTGTGAATGTGAACCAGGCTGGGTGGGTGACCTGTGCGATCGCTCCTTGTGTAAAGTGAACTGTACTTATGGCGCATGTCCAAACGATCCCAAAAAGTGCGAGTGCTATGAGAACTTTCTGAGCCCCGAAACAGGTTGTGACAGGTAACAAGAAAGACTTTTTGCGCTTTCACGCCGTGATAAGATTGTACTTAAAAAAAAAAAAAAAACTGAAACAGAAAGAAAATGCATGATAATCAAGCTGTTATTTCTCTTTTAATCGAGAGGTCTTACTGTGCGCATGGATGGGAGTGCAAAAACGGAGGCTACTGTATCGACCTCAATCACTGTGTCTGCCCACCTCATTACTCAGGTGAGACAAAAAAAAAAAATTTTTTGACATAGTTAACATCGTGATTAACCATCCCCCCCCCCACCCACCAAAAGGGTTGTGGGAGACTTATGCTCACATGAAAAATTTATACTTGCATGTGTGATAAACTCCATGTTTACAGCGATGTTCCCGTAGCTTCACGCTTGCTTTGCTTTTATGTTCTGTTTGTGTTCTTTTTCTCATAAACCAGGCCTACACTGTGAGACAATCAGTGAGTGTAGCGTAACTTGTCCACACGGACGGTGTAACCACCGTCCTGACGTCTGCGAATGTGAGACTAACTGGGGTCCTGAAGGAAAATGTGACACGTACACCGGACCCTGCTTGAACTGCAGCTCTGTTGGAGGAACGTGTGAAGAGGGGCCTAACACGTGCAAGTGTAAACCAGGTAGGTTTGAGTTTACGCAAATTTAATTGCTCTGAAATCTCTTTCCTGACCATACAATTTCATTGCTACGCCGAAAGAAAGGGAACGTGAAAAGATATTTCTAAGTAGGAAAATATTTTGATTTTTCTTTAAAGACCCAAATTTTGGAACGATTTAAGTGAGGAAAATGTAACCGAGGCAGGAAATGGCTGTCTGAGTTTCGACAGTGAGAATTAAGGAGTTATACAATAGAAATTGAAAGTTCACTGCGATTAGCCAATCATTCTATAAACAGTCTAGCAAGTAATAGTAATGGTTAGCATACATTTTAACATCTGTGGTGTACGTCTGACTTTTCTTAGGATATATGGGTCCACAATGCGCTGACCTGATGTGTGACGGGTGTGATCACGGATCATGTAGGCATACACCGACAAAAAAGCATTGCACCTGCGACTTTGGTTGGAGCAACCAAGTCCATGTCCCTGGCTTTGATCTCCACTACGGACCCTGCAACATCATCTCCTAGTGTACAGAACCTTGTGTACACGGCACATGTCCAAATGATCCCTACACATGCGAATGCAACCCTCCTTATGTGGGTACAGAATGCGATGTGATACAGTGCCCAAAGTGTTGTCCTCCACAAACGTGTGACTGCTCCGATGTAAACAATATAAAATGCCTCCCAAGATGGCACCATGACTGCTGCCTGCTTAAGTCATGTTTCAGGGGAGACACCTTGGTACACACAGCCAATGGATTGGTACCGATTGAAGAAGTGAAAGAAGGAGACATGGTAGTGACTCGTCACGAGGGCGACGACCCCTCGGCGTCACACTTACGTCGCGTCGACCAAGTTCGAAAGCGACTCGTACCTGCACGTGACCTAGTCGTGTTCCGAATGAACGACGAAGATATTTGGGTCACTCCCGACCACCAGTTCTTCGAAGTCGGAAATGGATCGTGGATAAGTGCCGGAACAGTGAAGTTGACTCATTCGCTTCACGCCTTGAAAGGAAAAGCGGTAAAACTTCAGCATCCAGCCGTGACGCCAGCGAAACTGTATGGAGCATACGACGACACTGAGCTAATACCTGTTTATGATCTCTCTGTGGATGAGTATGATCGCTATTCTGTCGGAAAAGAAGGGCTTCTCGCCGCCTCGTGTAACCACTCGGACGATATGTTAACCCGAGACAAACAGGTCTGGGGTGAAGCAGCGCATCCAAAATTCCTCACCAGATCTGAGGGAGAAGAGGAAAAGGTGAGAAACTTTTCATTTCAAAATGAGCACGAGTTTTTTTTCTTTTTCAATTAATGCTAGTTATACATCCTCTTTCCAGAGATCCCAGATTAGGGATTATTTGAAAGTTCTTCTGGAAAAATGGAATGGAATGTTAAACTTCAGTATTACACAGCTTGATGAAAAAGAAAAAAATTTAAACTCGGATAAACTGTCTCCACTTAAAAATGATTGGCGAAGAGAATTGAAGGATTAAATTTTCCCTAACGGTGCACATCATTTTGTAGTCCACTTATCACAAGAGAAGACTATTCTGTGTCTTAATTGTGGTTTTTTTTTTTTTTTATTTCACAAGGAATCCGTCAGTTTGGAGAGTTCAGACGAAGAAAACTTTGAACCAGACAGCTCTGGCTCAGATCTTTCCAGTCTTGCACCCATAGTTGGTGTTCTTGCCGCAATATGCTTGTTGCTTGCCATCGTTGCAATCGCAAAGATCCACAAAAAGAAACAACATAGCAACGAGTTAGAGTCCTTGATAACCTGAACCTTAACGCGTCGGATTACGTCACGCACAAAAAATGCAAACTGTAAAGCCTAAATATGGCCAAGAAAGAGGTCTCACTGTAGAAATCCGTTGAAGGAGAGAACATGCCTCTCAGAATTATATCTACATTTTAGTGTTTATGCGCAGATTCGTCTTTTTGACCTTTGTGAAATTAGAAAATTATTTGTTCTACCCATACAAGGTCTAGGACGTATTTTATCGGGAGTTCTTCTATCAAAAATTAGATAGATGTAAGGTACGCGTCAAAATTTGCTCCGTATGTTGTTCAGTTTCCTGACAATGTATCGATTTTAACATGAAACTGATCAATACGTAAACAATAAAATTTATAGCAAAATTAATCGAAGTTGTTTCAAAATATTGTTAGTGTAAGACGAAAGGTAGTTCTTATTGTGTCAGTAAAGTGACATGTAAACTCTGAGGTTCAGAGACCAACTTGCAATTTCGTTTCATGTTGTCTTCAATCATTATCGTCATGACCATCTGGTTTCAGAAGCAAATAAAATAAACCCATCTCAAATGACCATCGTTTTCCCCATAAAAACAACACAATTGAAAACAGTGTGACACGCACCTCCAACTGTATAATCCGTAACTTTCATAAAAATGTAAAAAACAAGTAAAAAATTAACGAGTTTCATGTAAAAACAATTAAACAAACTTGTGCAAGGAAAAGGTTTTAGCGACAATTACCACGGACAATTTTTTTATACTACGCTTTATTTTCCTTTCAAATGAAATTTACAATAAATAACTTCAACAGCCTAATTAAATCTATTTACAAGAGTGCAATTTTTACAGACTTACAATGCTAAACTAAATACACTCGTCTGGTAAAAAGACTGCAGCCTCTTTGCTGCTTTTTTTTTTCTTTTTTTTTTTTTACAAGACTAACCAACTTCTCTTCGTTATTTAGTGTGCCTGTATGACATACCTCAAAACCTCTCTCAATTGCAGAAATTTATTGTTCCTCTAATACAGTAAAAATCACTACTCTGTGAAATAAAATTGCTGCAAAATTTTCAATGGAGGTTCTTTCGAGGATTCACTGTTCTTGATACAATTCTAGCAGAGCTTCTGATGCTTCCACAGAGACAGTAAGTGTTCCGATCTCGGAATCACTTTCAATGTCATAAACTGCAAAGACACATTTTTAAAAATCTCACGTTAGTCACTTCGATTTATTCTGATATTTTACTGCTACATTCAACAGTGAACAAAGCGTGAAGAGAATTTGTAAGCCAAAATAGTCCCACGTGACCACATCGTGAGACAAACGATTACGTTTCTCTTTTAGGTGTTATTTACCACCATGAATATCCAGTCTACTTTACGACAAAATAGCTTTTTCTTTTAAACTCCGGTGTCTATTGAGCAACCTAACCAATGATACTTTATACTCACGTGCTATATCCTTGTCAACGTAATCCCCTTCATTTAAAATCTAAAGAGAGAGAGAAAAAAAAATAGGACCACGAGAGAGATAAAAAAACCGCACTTTTCCTTACGTAGGGTCAAACATGAAAGAGGTTAGGACGGTGTGATGTTCCAAAGTTTTGGAACGAAGAATAAGAAAGGTGGGAGAGGTTTGAGAAAGAGGCTTAACATACTTTGTTCAAAACCCTGCAAGAATAGCCTAGATGTGTATCCCCATTGTATCCGGCAAAATTCACTTTGAATCAGCTACAGACTACAAGCCTACCCGATCGTCCCGAGTAAAATTCCTCAGGTATGTCACTGAGAAAGAGGCACGGTGGTATTAACACGTTCTTAGGCATAATTTCTGAAGGTAGTTTAAAGCTGCATTCTATTTCACGGAGTTCTACGCGTTGTTCTCTCCGGTAGTGACGTCACTTCAAGTAAAAGGATCCCCCCATTAACTGGCATAGTCAGTAGGAGGAATAACTCATTGGACGTGAATAGTCCTTCTTCGATTACAACGTGAATACGATGCAGGGCTCGAAAAAAACCCCCGTCCGGTCGTCCGGGACAAGTAGATTTTCCCCGGCTTCGGGCAAGTAACTTTCTCTCCTTCCTTGCCCGACGGGCAAGGACCCAGCGGGCAAGCCGTTCGCCGACTAAATTTTGGATAACGATTTTGAGAAGAAAAGGTAAGCTTTAGGCCCAAGGGTAATCAAGTGTTTAGATGAAGCTTGACGAAAATTATAATTTATAGCGTTTTGTTGATTGCGTGACGCGCGCCCACGGCTCAGAAGTGGTTGCCTAGCACGTGATCAATGAAAGTGATCAGCACTATGAGGACTACATTCAAGATGGTTTTATCACATTAAAATCCATTCTTGGGTTCATGAATTATTAATCAGTTTGAAAACTTGGGCAAGCAGGGAAGTGCCCCGGGCAAGCAAAACTTAAGGGTTACTTGCCCAACGGGCAAGGTGTAATTCAAATATTTTTCGAACCCTACGATGTTTTTGCTACAAGCATTACCCACGAATTTTCGTTTTTGCAATCACAGCACCATCGTTTCAGTATCATAAATCAGCAGTTCCGTACCAACCTGCACAAAATCCACAGACGCATAGGCTACGTCAACACAGTCCCCTTCGTCATCACCCTCAGGTGGGTCGCTGACCACAGTGAAAACGAGTCTACAAGGAAATAAACCTGTTATGATGACCAGTTTGGAGGCAGTAGGTTGAAAGATGCATAGGGTACAGTCTCTATTCGAGACTGAGTCGCATTGCAGCAGGAGTTTGTTTAGGTTGGCGAGTACATGTATGTATAACTCTTCCGACTGATACTAGTCTGGTTAACTCCCAACATTTCATAAGGATTCCCTGATAGTTCGCTCATAATCAATCCTTGAATAGCAGCACTGTGAGATTTTAATCATTTGCCCGAGTAAGGAACTCAAATGGCCCGGCCTGGGCACCTCTCCTTCCAACGCCTGGTGCACTCAGGTAACCTCTACGTTACCGAGTCTCTCAAACAATGGCATTGCTACATCTTGGTCATCCTTTGACTCCCTAATAAAAAAATAACCCACACACACGCACGGTCATACGCAAATAAAACTAAATACACACACGTACAGTTTCAGACCAATCAACTCTGTAGGAGTCCATGATAAGCTGAAACAGTTAGACAAGCGAAAACCGCAGTCAACAATGATATTAGCAAATTTCTTCATTTCTTACTTAGGATCGTTGCACAGCATGTAAGCCAAGTAATTTCTTTTTTCCTGATTTTTTTCTGCATCCACGTGAAAAACTGAAAATTAGACGAAAGAGTTAGTACATGTCATTAAGTGACGCGTACAGCCAGAAATACACGCAATCCTTGTGATTTTTCCAAATCGAGATGATGTCACAAACGTAAACTATTAGTTTGCCGTCTAATAAAGGTCTTGGAGATTTTCACTTTTGACGTAAAATTCGTTGATATTACTAAGCTATTAGTAATTTTTTAAAGGTCACCGAGTTCCTGTTACAGTATATCAGATGCAAGCTAAATGCAGAGGGGAGGGGGGAGGGGGTGGGTACGCTAATAGTTTCATTCTTACCTTTCGTGAAGTTATAGTATATCGGTCTATAAGGTGCCGGCTTTGGTAATGACATTGGCGTTTCCAAATCAGCGGGTTCGTAGTCGAGGAACTTGTAAGCTATAAACAGTTGTTTGACGTTCGGGTCTTGTAAGATCGGTGCCTCTGGGTCCAGGGTGAGACTGGTAACTTGAACGACAACCGTGGAAGCAGGCTACAACAAACACATGTTACAAATATATTAAAGGCACTCGGTCGGCTGGCCAGCCATACAGTATTTTGATCATGCAGTCTGACAGATGGCCACTGAATTAACAAGTGAATAAGGCTGTACGTAAGATAGACCCGCAGAAGGAAGGCCAGTCCATAGATTCCTTAGTGGGTCAGTGAGTCTGTCTATTATTAGTCTTTGTTCATATCCTTTCTCGCCTACCCTCACACTAAACACATCAAGTTTCCTACTTACGCTACCTTCTCTACACTTTTTCATTTGTTTTTGGCGTCAATAGGCAGAGAGACAGGGCTCAACATTAACTTTAAAGAGCCTTGATAAAGGCCCCTTTTTTTACTTTGCTTACTTTGGCCACAGATTTGGCTCGAGAATGCCTCGGAGAGACCACCACTTCATTTTCACTTGTTTCATTTGCACTCTCCCAAACTGTATCTCCTTTCTTCTGTTCCTCCTCACTTTCCTCCTCGCCCGCCTCTTTCTCATCCTCATCCTCCTCCTCCTCCTCCTCCTCCTCCTTATCTTCCCCATCAATCTCCTCTTCAATTTCCTCTGCTTCGTCGTCCAGTTCTTCCTTGGACTCTGCTGCGGGAAGGGGTATGTCCACCTCGTCACCGAGTGTCGAATCGAAATCTAATGAACAAATTCAAAGGCATCATTACCAACAATTAACCCGGAGGAGTACTATGCATTGTAAAGTCTGCTGACCAGGTTCAGAATGTTGCTCCTCAAACATGGTGTCCTCGCTAGCTGCTGCTTCGGTTGTTCGCCTCATTTCCTCAGCTACAAGAGCTTCATCATTCTAGAAGAGAGAATGAAACTATGAGCAGGAAACGCTAAGAAATCGCCATACTAGGGTTTACAATTGTACACTTTACGAGGTTCGCTCATGTTTTCTTTGTTTTGACAGTCTTCTGCCACTATTTGCGACTTCATCGCCAACAGTGTATAAAATTTACGAACTTCAGTTGTAAGTCCGCTCCAGGCATTTTTTTTTCTTGTATGGGGTAAGATGGGCCCTCCTTGCCCGTCCGGGTAGCCAATCAGAACACAGACTTCGCTTCCTTTTGCCCACGGGCGCTGCCAGCTCTATAATAAGTGTATTTATGATGGCTTCTTAAAAAAATTTATTGGTCAGTCAGACTGTCATCTCAGACTGTCATCTCAGTCAAGCCGGTCAGCGTAACGATGGTGTACTTCGAAAATTGTTTAAGGTGCTGTTAACCCTGGGTCCATTCCTCGACAACTCACAGATGCCCTTGGTACCTGTTCATCTTCAGAGGTCTCACTGATTTCTCCAGTTGATTTCACCTGGTCCCCATGCTCCTCTCTTATTTCTTCGACAGCCTTGGCCATCTCATCAATAGACATCTCCTCCACGGGTTTCTCAAGCTCCACTTTGCGGGTGCGCGGGGCAGGCTGAGGTTTCTGTGCCGTCGCCTCAACTAACTCATCAACTGACATGGACTCAACTGGCTTTTCTCTGTTTTTTGTTGTAGAAAAATATTTAAGAAATCAGCCTCTGATGTGAGTTAAACTCGGGTACAACAGTAAAAATAATTTGTGATGCAGTAATACTGCACGCAGAGCCCAATCCCATGTCTATCCAATGTTTTTATTTGATCGAAGGCTTGTCTACCGTTTTTATATTTGTCTGTTTACTAACAACAGCAACTTTAACTGCAAGACGGGGCAAGACGGAGCCGTTTTCCTTTATCTCTCCATCTCGACGTAACTTTCTACTCTTAATTTTTCAGCGTCGTAAACGATGGGCAAACAAGGTGGTTTCGAGATTATACTTTGAAAAAATCTCAACTATTTCCGAAATTGAAACGCAATTTTAAGAAAAAACGCGACCCACTTTTTCTTCTCCTCTACTCTGGTTTCAGTTTTCTCTTTTTGATCTGACGGCTTTCGTTGCAACTGCGCCAGCTGAGCCGACTCTCGTCTGGCTACTTTTTCTTCACTTTGTTCTTGTTTCGGGGTGGACGAGTCCACCGGCGAGGGAGGTTTTTCTCTCTTATTCGGTGATTTGACGACAGGTTTGAATTCAGGTTCACTGTCAGAGCTAAACGGCTCATTATCATCTGGTATGCGCATCACACGCTAAAACAGACAAACATGGTAAACATTACGTATGATGCACGATCCTCGCAGTAGAGAGCGCTATTTATACATTGTGTCTGATTTATCATCACGGGTTTATAACGAATCAACTTAACGGCCTGCTCCCAGTTGGCTTGTTAGCTCAATTGGTAGAGCACTGCACTAGTGTCGCAGAGGTCAGTGGTTCGAATCCCGTACAGGCCTGATCTTTTTCAGGTCTGATATTCGCTATTGTATAAATAGCGCTCTCTACTTCGAGGATCGTGCATCATACGTATCTAATACCGCAGTTCAAAATATATGAACTTCATATATTCATTGTATCATGGTGAACATTGGAGAAGAGAAAGATCTCATTTCTGTTGTCAATAGTAAGGTGCACAGAAAAATTCCTCATGTTAAAACGAACCCTCGACCTTCGGTTTCCGCGCTCCGATGTATTACCGTTAGACCTCTGATTGGATGTATTACCGTTAGACTTCTGATTGGTTGTATTACCGTTAGACTTCTGATTGGTTAATCTCTCCTGAAACTGTCTTTTCATTTCAATGCAGAACAGTTGTGAGATTTTGATGTCTTAATCACTACATTAGCCTTCCCCTTTTAAGTTCGTCTATTCTAGTCAAATGTTTCCGGGATAACTTTAATGATTTACTGAAATTGTGTTCTGGGGTCCCTGCCTAGCTATAGGGGTCCATACGTTCAATTCATAGACAAGAAGACAATTTCGATGAATATTTAAAGTACATCTCCCTAAGATCTGAACGAAGTGAATACCTGAGGTGCCGCACGGGGCTTGGCACTGGCCGGAAGATACGTATATCTCCACTTTAGGTAAACATCAATCGCTCCGTTTACATCTCCCGAGGGCTGTAAAGAGAAGCATATTTGGCAATTTAATGACGATGGACTCTTCAGCTAGTTTTTTTCCTGTTTTTTTTTTTTTTTTTTGGTTTTTAAGGCTTTCTTTAGTCTTTCGACGGTTTGTTCGTTCACTTGCGTGCTTTATTACCCGTCTGTCTTTTCAAGTGTCCGTCCATCCGTTCTGTACCTACATCCATCATTGCTCTTTGTCTCTTAGTCATGTTTTCCAATCTTTGGATTTCGTTTTCATTAGTAATGGCATTACATGACTAACAATAAGAACCGCTTCATTCATCTTTTCCATGTACATGCTCTTGGAAAATTACGGTATTCGAAACCCAGTACCGTTGTGATAAAAAAATTTGAACTACATTTTAAATTTATGAATCACGACTGAAAATTTTGATATATACGTTCCTCTGGCAGGGTGCAGCTTTCGCCAACTAGACTACAAGCAACCCTTCCTTTTTGGCGAAGTCCGTCGCACGCGTCAACGAAAAATATCAGTGATGTTAGCCCGTCGCGCAGAACTCTGGAAGTGAGTCCACGCGGCGCATTAACATCAGTTTTTTCACCTGGTTTTTTAACGCGCCCGTAGGACCTCGGTGAAACGCAAGGACTGTTCGTAGTCTATTCACCAACAGATGAGCTCATGCAGTGACAGAGGATAACTTACCCTTCTAAGTTCAAACGTTCCCTTGACTGGTTTGTCGTTAGCTAATGTTATCAAAGGTACTTTAGCCAGTCCCAGGTACACCGTAGGTTCGGGATCTGCGTCATCAAATACATAGATCTCCAGGGTCTGAAATAATTACATAGGTTTCCAACTTAAAATTTAAATTATCCAGACGTTTTCCCGTCCGTCATACAGATTTCATTTTCTCATCTTACGCGCCTACAACATACACGCAAATCAAAAGCGAGCGAGTCTGTTTTTTTCATAAGCCATAAGAGAACTAAGCAGAGTTTATCAAGTTATACCAAGAAGACAGTCTAATAAACAAGGAAAAACAAGGTTGGAATATCCAAGTAGGCAAAGTTGTGATTGTTTATGTACTCGTGTGTCTGCATTGTAAACAGGCGCATCAGCGGTAAACGCTTTTTCGTAGCCCATGCCAGATCACGCAATAAACAACAAAATTTCTTGCGCAAACAAGATAAGTAAAGAAACACGTCAGCCAGTTACCGCAGCTCTAAGGTACGTGTCAAGCTCAGTTGTCATGGGGACAGGAAATGTCTTAACGTCATTGAACTCAGGTGTGTTGGTGCTCCGCACAATATCTGTGTCGTGATCAGCAAAATCAAAGAAACGGTAAACCGCGTATGGACAGGGCTGTATCCCTGAAGGAAAAGAGAGAAAAGATACATAAATAAAGACGGATATTATTATCAAATGACTCGAGCGACCCGCTCACGCAGTCCTAACGAAATCATAACGGACACTACTATGTGTACGGCCGCACAGTTTGACGTGCACTGGTCCGGAAATAGCCGTTCAGCCTCGTACTCGTAAGGCCTTATAACAAAACAATGAGAACTTGACCTTGACAAACGTCGCGATTTTCAACAAATTCTGAGTTGATTGCTCCGAGCTTTCTTCTTGAACAATCTCATTCGTTGCTTTTCCGGAGCCCACTGGCACCTGTTTGAGTTATGTCATTGGTTTCCAACATTTTCAACAATACGAGGTCTCATGAAAAAATGCACTCTGACATAACTAGTTAAGTCTATGCATTCTGAGCCTCATCCGAATATTTTCCCGTGCAGACCCTCAACTTAGTCAATAAGCACATAGTCCTACTTGCGACTCACGCAACTACTAAAGACCATCGGAATGCCTATTCACTCTACACACATTGTCGCTGCCACTGAAACTACACCATCCGTAAAACAAGAAAAGCGGCTTATTCTCGCTCGGACCGTCCATCTGGAGAAATAGACCGAATTCTAAATTATATTTTCCGAACTCAGAGAGAATACAGGTAGGTTTGTGACCAATCTGACCAAAGCTGACCAGTGCGTAACCTGCTTGCAGGCGGTAGTTTCTGTTTTAAAGCACGAGATTCAGCGCGGCGAATATTAGGTCGCCATATCGGACGGGTGAAAGATCAGTGACGAGTGACAAAGCATTCAATATGGCGACCGAATATTCAACCGAATCTCGCGCTTGAAACACAAACTACCGCCTGCAAGCAAGCTGACTAGTGTACGATCTAAGATATTTTAGAGGTGGGAAATTTGTCCATTTACATTCAAAAAAACCTTAGTCGCACATCCCTCTTACCCGGTCTCCTGGGCTGAATTGCACTGCACCTGATAACATGAATGTCAAGTTCATTGACGTCCGAGGGCGGTTTGTCCGGCACGTGACCGGCGTCTTCAAGGGCTTTATAAGCTCCGGAATTCATATAACCCAGTGCCTTGGTACGTTCCTAAAGCGGAAATGAACATCTTTAGGTAAGAAAACTGTAATGAATAGAATTGGCTAAAAAAAAAAAAAAAATCCAAATTATAGGTACACTCACTCTGTACAATCTAATTGCTTGGTCCATGGGAACTCTTAGTCTGACCCAGTATTCTAAGGTCGCAAACTCGACGCCTTGGCATGGGGGCCTGTTGCCTACGAGGATAAAGATGAGAGGAACAAAAATAATATGATTTGAAAACAACGAAAAGCACTCGCAGTTATTTCAGTTGCCATCATTTAGGGGAGCAGAACCCGTAAGTCCAATCACCTTAAGAACTCGGTCCAAAAATAATATGAAGCAACTTGATGAAGAGCAGAAAATGCCTCCTACTGCAGCTCGCGTTGCACGCCCGAATAAAGCTCGGGGCGGTTGGTAGACCCGCAGGTACGTATCTAGAAGGGCGTGACATATCGCGCGCGCCACTTTTCTCGCTCTCGTTGACCTTACACCAATATCAATGTCTGAGAATTCTTACCAATTAGCTTTGCAGTGCCGTGAACTCTACCGTGAGGTTTTTCAAGAAGGTCCCTAAACTTCAGTTGACAAGCTGCCACAGTCTTGTAGTCCGTTCCAAATGCTCGATGGATTTCTATCAACGTGGATTCCTACCACAAGGAAAAAGGAAAGACTAATTGGACAACAAACACAATGGATAGTGTGCGCACCCCTTTCTAAGTCAAACAATAGATGTCGTCGAACAACTTACCTTTTGTAAGTAATGCAGAAAGAAATCGTCAACTCGCACAAGATACTGTGAGGTAAAATTGAATTCGGGTCTAAAAGCAAAATAAAGAGAACCGAGTCAAATATCTGCAGAGACTTAAGAGCACTGTACTAATAAAGAAGTTTAGGCTAGGTAGTAAACATGAATTCAACTCTCTCCTCCCAAGAGTATATATGGGGACCGGCAAGTTGCCAGGGAAGCCTGGTGAAATAGAGGTAACCTTGCCATGGTATGGCTCCCATTCTGGAGAGAGTCTGGCGTCCCATCCAGCGGGGAATAGTGATATTCCTGGTAGATACGGACAACAGGACTACTTCCGGTTGGATGTGCCACTGACATGAAGCACAAGTGCTGACTTATCGACTTACAATAGTAAAGTTAATGATTATAATTATGGTCTTTCACACAGTAAATAAGAAAAGTCACAAATATTTAAGTGTACCTGGTCCCCTTAACAACGGGCGTCGTCTGAAGCTCGTGTTCAAAAAACTCGTACGTCACAAACGTCACCGGTTCGTCATCTTCAAACTCTTTCATGGCTTCCTGAGACAAGATAACCTGATTGGGAGAGATAGGACGAGCACAACATGAGAAAAATAATATCAAGTTGTCCGTGACGATGGAGTAACAATATGATAAGGCGTACCTTATCAATGTGAATTTCGAAGATGTTCTGTCCTCGCTCCAGCTCTACTGTACTATCCATTTCTTCGAACTCGGAATCCTGCTAAAATGTAAGAGTCGGGGAAATAGTAAAAGCCTCTGTTGCACAAGAAATATCTTTCAAGAGGAATATTTGCATGTAAAGATCGCAAAAGATAAAAGGTCATCGCACAATAGCTTATGCAGTTACAGCACTCCGTCGGTACCGCTTCACTGTCATGAGTTCCATTCAAGCCTAAAGTTCTCCAGGCTTTATTTTAACAACACTTTCAACTGTGCGTATAACTGCAATGATCTCTCATTCAATTAAACAGATAATAAAAAAAATTAAATAAATAAAAGTATTTTATCACCTCTAAAGGAGCAGCTTTGTACTGTTTGGTTCCATATGCTACGTCACGCATCTGACTTTCAAGTTTCTGTAGAAAAAGAAAAGGAAACCTGAACGATACTTTGAATAAATGAGAAAAAAAAAAAAAAACTAGCATGAGATGAACAAATTTCCAAAACAAGACATTACGTTAATTTCGACAGGAAAATTTGAGGCTCTTCTAAACTGACGAAAAAGTTAATAAAAAGTCCACTGTTTCAAGGCAAGGGTACAAACCTTGTTCATGTCTCTCTCTATACATGGGAGGATCAACTCACGTATTATCTTATGAAACGAACACTAGATGTCGGTACTAACAGTCCGCTCTCAACTGTGCATGTATATCAAGGAACACAATTGAAACTGAACACCTAGATTGACTCAGATTGACGTAGAGAGACATGAAGACCGTGACAGACAGACGGACAGACACAGACAGACTGACAGACAGACAGACGGACGGGCAGACACAGACAGACTGACAGACACCGACAGACAGACGGACAGACACAGACAGACGGACGGACAGACGGACAGACAGACACAAGGATCGATAGTAAAGTAAAGGTAAAGTAGAGCTTGAATTAAATCCATGTGGCAGCCACCTAAGGCTGAATTGCATGAATTTACAAATTCCATTAATACAAAGCTTATAATTTGAAAAAGTGCTAAAACCTACAAACTTAAGCTTAGAATACGAATTTATAAAAATTCGTAAAAATTCATACTACGAAAACTGCTAACGCCTGCACATAGATGGCAGAAATGTGCTAGAAAAACGCTTGGTACGCATGACAAGATTGGCAAAGTGGCGTTGTCTTTTAAAGTTATAATGACATTAGTTCTTGGGAGAGAGAAAACGGTGCAACTTATGATCTGGATTAGATACAATAGAATCAAACAATTTTTCGTATTGATGTATGCGTCTGTCCTCTACAGATGCCATCTTGTATAATGACAGGCTGTCATCGTAAGAAAGGCCTGGCAAAATAATTGATAGTGCACGTTTTTAAATTCGTTCAATATCCTTACTTAAGTAGTCAGGAAGTGCGTGATGGTACAGTGGAGCACAATATTCTAGAACTGGCCTTGTACAGGAAAGATAAAAACAAATGATATCGTGTGCTGGAACATCTGCAAGCTTAAGTAATGTAAGAAAGTAGTAACAACTGCAACACAGGCAGACTGATAGACAGACACAGACACACACACACACACACACAGACAGAAAGTCAGACAAGCAAGAAATAAGGGACCAAACAACTTATCTGGGGCTCGGATTTTTCTATTAAACAACTCATCGACGGAGTAAACGTTCGGTTTGCTAATAGAGGGAGAAACATGTTCCACAATGGAAACTAAAACATAAGTCATGATGTTGTACTTACTCGTATTCTATCAGCCCTTATGTCCAGTAATTGAGCATACTCTTGCATCTTGAAGTCATACTCTTTCTTATCTTCAGTCATCTTCTTGGTTACCCGCTCCACCTTAACAGGGAAAGAGACGTTTAAAAAATGCTAAGGATTCAGAGTCAAGGCGAGAAAAGAATCTAGCGGAAGGACCAAGGAAAAATGGATTTATCTCAGATTCGAGCGACGTTGCGATTGGTCGAATTGCCACCAGAAAGGATCAGTTAACTCTGCATACGAGAATAACTTGAGAGAAACTAATAACGGTATGTGTACCATGACGCAACTAAGAGAATTGCTATTGACCCGGAAATGGAAATTAATTTTTCGCAGTTTACCTCCCACCTACATTTATCCAGGTTATAATTCATTGACAAACGTCAACGATTACACTCCCAGGTAGAGAGGGGCACTATGAGAGTAAAGTATCTTAACCAAGAACAAAACAGAGCACTGTGAGAGGAAAGTATCTTAAAACAGAATGACCTGTGCCAGGTCTCGAAACCTGACCTCGACAAGCTTACAAAGAAGCCACAGAGTCTTCCACTTGTTGCGTTCCACTAAAAAATACAGTTTGGTATAATCGCAAGTGGTGGCCTCATGGGTTAGTGCGCTCGACTCCTGATCGCGTGGTCTGGGTTCAAGCCCTGGCCGGGGACATTGTGATGTGTTCTTGGGCAAGACACTTTACTCTCCTCTCACAGTGGCTCTCTTCACCCAGGTGTTCCCATGGGTACCGGCGAATTTAATGCTGGGGGATAACGCTGTGATGGACTACCACCGGATCCAGGGTGGAGTAGAAAAACTTCTAGTCGCTTCATGCCACCGGGAAACCGGATTAAAGCGCCGGCCTAATGGGCCACTTGGCTCGTAAACAGCGTTTACCTTTTATCATCGCAAGTAAGGTTTTTAAGGGCTTCGTCTAGAGCGAAAGCGCGGGGCACATTCTGAGTGGAAATAGTGAGATCACTACAACACAAGCATGGTATTTTCGCTCACCTCTGTCTGATAATCTTTGTTAATTTTGTGCTGAATAATCAACATATTTCTTGTCTTCTCAAGCTCATTAATTGTGTCCGCGTGTGCAGCTTGAAATTCTTGTACTTGTCGTTTCATATCTACAAGAATTTACAAGAAAAAAAGACATGATTAATTTTTTTTTCATGGAATCCAAAGCATCGTGATCTAGTTTCTGAAAGTCGCTCACCATGGAACGTTCTTTCACCCAAGAATCGTTTCGTTGGTCGTTTCGTTGTACAAAAAATTACCTTTATGCTTTTCATCATCAACCTTTTCCAAGAAATCCAAGTCCTGGCTTCCTTGTTCTTTCCTATGCTGTTGAGAAAAGAAAAAGGCAAAGGTAAATGTATAGCGAACGATGAGACACATTTTTTTTTAGAGAAGATGGGGTTGAAAGGAGTAGTAGACTCGACCTGCTCTCAACAGAAAGAAAAGAACTTACTTTGATCAGCACAAGGGCTTCTTCAATTTCCTGAAAATCCACCGCACTTTCCTGCAAGCAAGATTAAAATGGGCGATGGTAAGGTTTATCTACTACAACTTTAAGTCATGAAACTTATCCTCTGGTTTGAAGATAGGAACTGTAAAAAACACGTATTTAAGTTGCTTATTAACCTTTTGACGAATTAGAGTGACTAACATCTAATTTCTCCTAGCAATAAAGTCCCTGAATCACACCATTAAGGTCAGGAGAACAAAGGAAATGATCACCAACTAAAGAAGCTCGTGATTGTTTAACAGATTCTCCTTGTCAGCACCTTAGGGGATTTTATAGAGTACAGTATGGAGAATATGCATACTGATGTAAGGGTGTAAAGGATTACGATGTTTATCTTTACCGGAAGTGTGTATCCATCAGAAAAAAAAAAAAAGGTGATGCAATGGCAGAGCCGACAAGGTTAGCCTGCCCTTAAAAATTACCTTAGTAAAGAACTTCATCTTCTCCTTCAAGTCATCGTATTGTTCTTTTAATGTGTAATGTTGTACCCTCAATTCACGTAGCTCCGAGTTTAACTTTTCAGCAGACTCTACCAAAATGATGACAAGGATAGAGAGGTACGCAGTGAGGCGCTACAGTACTTAACTAACCAGAGAAATGATTACAGCCAATCAGAGTAAAGGTAAATTACACAACGAACCAATACGAATTCCAAGGAAATAGCGTCCTCAGCATCATTAATGGCGCGAAATCGCGTATGCTATCAATCACAAGAACCACCAACCAGAACAAAGGTCAACAAACAGCAACCGATAAGAATCGGAAGGAAATGACGTAAAATGGCCACAAGCGTGGGATAACGCCATCGACCATTGTACTCCCTTTAGGTCTTCCATGACTTTTCGAATAACACAAAAAACGTTATCGCGCTCAATCTCGCAAGGAGTAGTGAAAAGTTAGCGCTGCTGATGCCTGATAAGTTTTGCCGGTCTTCGCATTCTCCTCGCGAGTGAATCGGTTGTGTATGCTCCGCTTTCAAATCGCGTGTACAGTCTGATCCTGTCAGCTGCACAGGCTAGTCTGTGTATAGCGTTGTGTAGTGTATTGTGGTGAGTTTGACTGTTAGTATAAATACAGAACTCACATTTTTTGATAGTGAAAATGAGATGGAACCGTAAAATATTCATATACACACAGTTCTACCCGCGCTAATAACGAATCTCACCTCTTTCGCTGGTTAATTTGTCAAGAATTTCATTTTTCTCCTGTAAGTCTGAATGCAAAGTAGCTCTTAGCTGCTCCATCTCCACCTGAAATACGAACACGAAATGTTCACCAACCCCGTCCAAAGCCCAAAAATCCTGCTTCCTATCATCAAATTTCTCCTGTGAAGTCATTTACCCACTTTACGTCCCCGACAAGCAGCGTATCCATCCATTCAAATACAGGGTTACAAAAACAGACAACCATGCATTTCTTCGTCCCCCATTTAAGAACGTTCAAGCCAGTCTTAAGTAAATTCGACATTCCCTTGAATAATCATATCTGGAACTCAAAGCTTACAAATGTAACACTGACCATCCGATACGGTTTCTGGTAAAACGTTCACCTGCTTACGGAGGCCAGGCGAGCAGGAAAGTAAGTGCAAAAAAATGTAACAAGCACGTGACACTTTCGATCGCACGTGTCGGTCTCACTCACTCACGCAATTACTGCGAAGGCCATAACTGAACAACACTCCAGCTCAAATACTTAGGGCATAAGCGGTTTATAAACTGTTTTTCATATGTCTCTTCGTTTGTATCCGTCTCTTAAAAACTATCCAATTAGTTTTTGTTTTTTTAACTGAATGTGTCTGCTGGAGACGTTAGGACTTGTTTTTTAAACACACTGTACCTCCATTTGCCTGTATTTAGCTCGGTGTTGTCTTTCGCGTTCAGCATCAAAAGCACTGGAATAGTTTAGAAAAGAGGAACAAATAGAGAAATACATACAAAGAACAACAACATCAAAAAAATTACACACACAAATAAATCACCAATACATACAATGTATTAAGTCATGTATGCAGAGCACGGTCTCACCTGTTAACCAGTTTTTCATTCGCTTCTTTCAAGATAGCATTATCCGCTTTCAGATCACCAATCATTTGAAGTTGCTATTTAATCAAAACGAACACATGCCGTTAGTTCGTTTAATTCTTAAGACACGTGATGATCTAGCGAGTACTTAAGACTAGGGGGTCTACCGTCTCATAGATTCTCTATTTATGAAAAAAAAAAAAAAAAAAGAAAAAAGAAAAAAGAAAAAAAGACAGGTGAGAGATATACCCTCCCAGTACCCGAGTCTCCGTGGTGTGTGGCACGCTGTGCTGGTAAAATCAATGATGAGAACTGCTCCTTCCCTTACATGTAAACCAAAAAATTTCGAAAGATCTCCCTGATATCTTGTTGGTACCCATTTATATTATTTGAAAGAGAGAAGCACTATGACAGGGACCACGGAGAGGGAGGGGCTAGGGGTTTAAACCCCACTCCGCTTTTTCGAAATAAGCTTGTCCTGCTACGCATGCCCTGCGGCCTTGTTGGCCAAATAGCTTGTGCTATTTAGCACCCCCCCCCCCCCCACTCAAAAGTTTGTTGGGCGGGCCTTGTGTGAAAGTAAAGCGCTTCACCAAGAAATACAACGCAATGACCAAATTAGGGCTTGAAGCTTTGACTTCAGTATGCTCTCCGCTTGGTTACCACACTGTATAGTGTAAATACATTGCAACGATTTTAACCCCTTATGTAAAATAAACGTGTAAAATATTCTAACCTCTGACAATGACTTTGATGCTATTCCTCCGGTCTTGAGGTCATTCTTTAAAGCAAAATTCTTTGTTTGTTCCTGTAAAGACGAGGAAGAGTAGTTAGACTGTGCATCAGTATATATGAAACATTCATCACTCTACACATGTATAAATCCGTCTGCAAAACCATCGGATTAAGATTCAAATCGTTAACAGTGCGCAACATACTTAGCACATTTGATGGCCTGGCTGTTGCCAGACTACGGTCTAAGTACAGTATCTCCTGCATATTCAGTTTTTCTTGCATGTACAGGTGTAAGAGCACCAGAAGCATCTCATTCATTGGCCAAATAATAGAACCTATCTATTGACCTAATTCAACCACAAATGTTTAGGAAACTTGGCTGCATAAAATGACACTGCATTTATACAGAAATAAAAAAATTGCAGGTTGATAGTGTACTTTCTAATTTTATGATATTTTGTTTTGAATATGTGTACCTTCTTAAGTTCTTCATTTAGTTTTTCCATATCCTCAAGAACCTGAGTGTGACTTGCTTTTACTTTGGCAAGATTCTGTGAAGGAAAACACACATTCTTAGTCGTTAGCAATGCTTGAAAGGGTAATCACGAGATACACAACCGTAACATACAAGGCACTCATAAAGAATTAACTAAGCGATACTATGGTTTGTTCTTCTCAAAAAGTTTAGCTTAAAGTTTTCAATGATGGTTTTTTTTTTTTTATTCCATTTCAATCTTTGATATCCCTTCCCATTTAGGCAATCAACCAAAACATATTTTGAAAGCACATTGAAGGCAACTTGCTCATTGCAGTAAACAGCTTATAAAATTTCATCTGATGGCACCAAAAGAGAGTGGATCTTTTCTCCAGATAACAGACTTCAGATCAACACACTTGGATCATCTGAATAGTATTGGACTTGTATGTAATCTGATGGAATAACATGGCATCCATGATAACATGGCTGTCTTCTATTTCTTGTTTGCTATATCTACTTTCAAACAGTCATATTAACAGCCCTTGTTGTGTACATAGCTTTAGGCTAACAGAATATTTCACCTCTTCTAAATTTAAGTACTTGGCCTGCAGAGCTTCAAACTTTGTAACTTTTTCCTTCATCTCCCTCTGAAGTTTTATCAAGTCAACATTCTCTTGAATATTTGACCTGGTAAGCCAGGAAAAAATTATACTTTCGCCTAATGTGTGATATAAAAATAGTTAATAAAAAGTGACATGGCAGACTATGAATCTACATGAACACTGATCACTTACAAGTTACATCACTGTACCTTTCATGAGGCTGAGATGCAAACTTCTAAATACACATTTAATTTTACTGAAAATAGTTTGAATTGATTGTGCACATACAAATGTTAATGTAAAATCTCATTTTTCTTGCTAGTAAATAAATCTACTAAACTTCTTTTGCTAACCTTATCCTTGCCTAATTTGGAAAAAAAATTAGCCAATTTTATATCTGTATTTTGTATAATTTCAGAGCTGAGCAAAGAGTTTCCAGCAATCTGATTGGTCGAGCGGTTCCCTATAATTATGACGCTATGTAAACCGGTCCACGCCGGTTATATAAAATGTTAATAAAAGTTACTAAAATGTTATGATTTTAGAAATTTCTCTGTTGTTTAACTCTGAAATTATACTAAAACAATTATTCGCCTCAGGTTCAGTGAATATTGTCGAATAATCCCCGAGACTTCATCTCAGGGATTATTCGATGATATTCACCTCGCCTTCGGCAAATAATTGTTAAATATCAGTCTAAACTCTCAAATTCAAAGATTTGGTTTTTTTTTTTTTGTTGGTATTAATTACATACAAGTAGTACAACACTATTGTTCCCCATAGTCTGTATATATCAGTCTTAACTCTCAAATTCAAAGATTATTTAGTTTTTTTTTTGTTGGTATTAATTACATACAAGTAGTACAACACTATTGTTCCCCATAGTCTGTATATATCAGTCTTAACTCTCAAATTCAAAGATTATTTAGTTTTTTTTTTGTTGGTATTAATTACATACAAGTAGTACAACACTATTGTTCCCCATAGTCTATAAAAGCAACTGGAGACAATAAGACTGGATACAAGTTGAAATAAAACATCACAATCATACCTTTGTGCATCTGACAGTTGTTCTTTCAACTGCATTATTTCATCCTCATGGTGAAGTTTGTTTTGTCTTAACTATAGAATAAACAAACAGAGTATCACAAAGTTAATAGGCAAAATGCTGAGATCCTTGTTTTGCATGTGACAGACTATCTGAGTGTCTTTTTAGACTTTGCAGCTCAAGATCCAGATTCCAGGTTGTGAACAACTACACAAAAACAAAATTTTCTGACTTCCACCACAAAGCCTTCCCATAGAGATAGGTAAGATCCAAAACTTATAAGAACCACAACTTTTAAGTTACCATTGCCCATGACAAACTATGCTTAGAAAGTACATGAACATTGTACTTTCATTCTGTTGAGCGACCACTTACTCCTGTAGTTGTGAAATAATGAGAACTATGAAGATGTATCCTACTGTCACTAAGTTACCTATTTTGATAACAGCATAAAATTAAACATTTTTGATCAGTAATTAAATGGACTCAGTTTCATCAAAGTTCTTCCTACCTGTTCCCTTAACTGGGCTCCATCTTCATCAAGTAGTTGAATTTGATCTTGAAGCTGAGTAATAAGCTCCTCTCTGTATAGGCAAAAGAAATTGTAAGAAGATGATGAAATTATGAAACCACAATCATAATGTGATAATTATTATAAGAACACTATCATGAACAGGCAACCCAATAGAATATAGCGTACTGGTGAAAAGACAATAGGCCAAGAGTTGAAGGGGGTTTTCAAAGTATATAATACATATGAAAAAATTACGTGCTTCTGATTGGCTGAAAATGGGTGCATTTTTCATGTAACATAAGGGCAAAGTTACAATGCAAGTGCAAATAATAAATAGCCCATGTGCTATCAAAATTTTGTCGGTCTTGGCTTTGTGGGATGATTTTTTCATGTAAATTACTAACAAGTAACAACATTATTTTTCATGTAATTTGGTGTGAATAAGCACTTGTAAATTTTTCAAAGACTAAAACTTGCATTTGCCCGACAGATGTGTGCAATTTTGTTGCCTTTGAAAAATTTACCCAAGCTTATTAAAACCAAAGTGCACTTCAAATCATGTTACTACCTATACTTACACCTGATTCTCACTATCAATTTACAAATTAAAAAATGTACTTTAGCTGGAAGAGAAAGGTAGGACTCAGTGTTTAAGAATTTGAGGATTAACTTACAGTTCCCTTTTTTCTAGCCTTGCTTCTTCAAGAAGACTGTGCCCATACCTTCAAAGAAAAAAAAAAACAGAAAAAAAAAAAAAAAAAAAAGCAGGACAGAGCTGATAAAACAACATCTACATGTACACATGTATAGTTTAAAAGGTAATCTTAGATTGGAGTAAAGACTCATTTGCATAGCCAAAGGGAATTTTCTACTTTCTTGGGGTAGTGCTGCATGTATGTGACTGTATAAGGTTTGCCTTCTCTCCTAGATGGGAACAACCCCCATAACAACTGCTTAAGAACTCAAAGGTATACATGTATGTAGCCATCATTAAACTAAAACATTCTGTGCGGCTAAACTAATGTGAGATCAAATGCGTCGATCCTTGTAAAAGCACAATGAAAATGCTCTCTATAAAGCTCCCTTAGATGAAACTGCTGCATTCACTTGGTTTTAACCTGCCTAGACTACATTTAACTTAATTAAATTATGCATGATCTGCAATGGGAATTGTGGGTCAACAAAATATATTACATGTGGAACTTTTATGTGACAATCTAAAGACCAACACACCCAGGATGTTGTAGCATCAAAACTAGTACATCCTGAGTGTGGATCTCTAAATTGCAAACCATATGGTAACAACTGTCAGCACATGGACAGAAATTATGTTAAATGCACCAATAATGTATAAGCAGTAATTATCATTGCCAAACCAGGGCATAAAATTGTGCCTAATACAGGCGCCAATGCGACTAAATTTTTCACTTTGGCGACCAAATCCTGAAAATTAGTCGCCAAATTGGCGACTAGAATTTCTAATCACACCTCAGCTAGAGATCTAGTGATTGTTGAAGATTTGATAAGATAAATCTGCAGCAAAGTTCCTCGTTAAGCTTGTTTCCAAAACGCAGTACATGCACGATGTCGAATGTAAATCTACTGTCACTAGACGCCATCCTGGATTTAGGTAACCTATAAAGTTGTATATGATCCATTCTAGTGTCCTCTTTGTAGCTCGTGCGAATGTTTGATGTTTGTATGACTGTATCACTATCGACATGATAAATCTAGTACAGTGACAGGGTAAAAATTTTTTGTGTGTGTGTGTCATAATGGCCACCAACTTTTTTGGAATTGGCTACCACTTTAAAATATTTAGGAGCCAAGTGGCTACCAGAAAAAAAAGTTAATTTTACGCCCAGCAACCACTAAGCTAAGATATTAAAATGTACATGTACATAACATTGCCTCAACCCTTTAACCCTAATTAAGAGTGACTAGCATCTAATTTCTCCTTACGATATCACCCCTGAATAATATATTCAGGTCAGGAGAATTAAAGAAATGATCCCCAATAAAGCTCTTGATTGTCAAACAAATTGTCCTAATTGTCAGCACCTTAAGAAATGTATAGAGAAAAGTATGGAGAATATGCATACTGATATTAGCCAAAGAGTGAAAACCTTTAATATATGTGACAGTTCATGTGGGTTGAAGGTTACCTTGGTTGAGGTAGCATTGGAGGTGGCACTCTTGATCCCGGTCTACAAATTAAAACAAAAACAAGGAAATGCAGTTACAAAAACAAAGGCAAGATCATAATCTCTCTGTCTGTGTGATCAATTGTACCCAGATGTAAAAAACTAATCAAATGTTAACCCTTTCACTCTCAAGATCTCCATAAGATATCAATTCCACTCACAGCCAGCCATATATTTCTCAAACTTCTAAAAAGTTGGTCTTCAATTGTATAATATTGTCTATTTGATACTTTTCTACCTCTTCTTCACCTTCCTGTTCAAAAAGGCATTAGGATATTGTAGGTAGGTAAAGCCTGCCTACAAGCCAAGTGGCCCATCGGGCCAGCGATTGACTCTAGTTTCTGTTGCATGAAGCCACAAAGAGTATTTCTACTCCCCCTGGATGGAATGCTAACCCACTACAGGGTCACCCACAGCATTAAATTCGCCAGTACCCATTTGTACTCCTAGGTGAAGAGAGGCACTGTCACAAAGTCCTCGGCCAGGGCTCAAACCTGGAACACTTGGTCCGGAGTCAACACACTAACCATGAGGCTACTGCTCCTCCTCATTGAGGTTATGGGTAGAAATAATTTTTTCTTTGGTCTGAGAGTAGAAGGAGCAGCTTGTGCTGTATCAGCTCAACTATCATCAATCTCTAACAGGTGTCCTGCTTATTTTGTCAGCACAATAGTTTATTAAGTAATTAGCTTGTACTGACAGAGCTCTACACATTATTTTACAGTCAATAGAATTACTAACTTCATATCATGACCTTGAACTCTTAAGTCTTTCCTCAGTCGGTTTCCTGATGGTGTTCTGGCATGAACACCCTGAGAAAGAATGTAGTACAGTATTGTGCTTAAGTAATACGAACACCTGTCAACAAAATTCCTGGCTTTCAAACTTTGGTCTGAAACAAAATTTTTGTAACATTTTTGCAAATTTTTGAGGCGGCTATTGTTTACACTTGTCCAAAATTTTGCTGATGAATTCACTGGGGATGTTAGTGAGTCTTGAAATTTCAAGAGAAAGTTTGTTCCTCCCAAAAATGTGCAGCAAACTTTTTGGAGAAAAGTCATGCTTCACTATTCATGCAAACACCATGTTTGCAGAGGTTAACTACTTCATAACAAAACTCATGGACTTTCCTGCTGTGTGTATATATTAAAGAAAGAAAGAAGAAGAAAACAAAAAATTTTCATTCAAAACCGTGAACATTAAAATCATATTTTAAAAATGGCCATTTTCATTAATTTGTACAATACTACACAAATCAGGCAATGCTGACAGTAAATGGCACTGTGACAATTTGAAAAAGTCTGTGTCCACTTTTGATGTTGCAACAATTACACTTGTACATGCAAGTCACTCCATATCATCAACAAGTTCTTAATCAAATTGAAGCAATCAATTACAAAATAAAAATTATGATCTGACTAAAAAAAATGTACATGTAGTGTTGATCTCCACTTACTGTTTGAACACGAGGTTTTACATGGTCATAAGGTGTAGCACGCTTCCCTTGAGTCTGTAGTTGTTGCTTGGCAACCATAAGCTTAAAAAATTACCATTGGAAATAATCATAGGTCATTTCAATTAAGAACTAAATACTGGTTGATCTCACAAAAATAATTAAAAGTAACTGTAATGAAAACTGCTCATGCACTGTACCTTATTTTTCAATCCAACATTCTGCTTTTCTAAATCTATAATTTTAGCTTCCAGATCTGCTATTTTCTCTCTTGTTTCCAAGTTGTTTACAGCAGACACTATTTCAGAGAAATCATAACAAAAAATGAAATCTTAAAAGCAAATAATGTCTCAAAATATCTGCGTGATGAAAACTGGTAAGTCGATACAAGACTATTTGCACCACATACATGTAGAGGGACAAGCTCAAGACTCATGGGACCCTGGGCCATACATTAACCCTGGGCCATACATTAATCAGGGCATGACATTAACTTTTCAACTTACTAGCCAAGTGGCTAGTGACATCTTAGACTTTAAGACAATTTCAGTTTATTTACTAACCATCAAACTAGCTAGTGGAAATCGAAAACCACTCACCAAAACTGAATTTCTACTAGTCTGTGGCTAGTGGGCTACCATGTGTCGAGCCCTGTAAATCAAAGCTCTTAAGAGCTGGACACCTGAGCTTTCTCACACCAAAGCTGTCAAGCATCAATTGATTCTTCTATGAATGCAGATTTGAATAATGTAACTATACAACAGCAAAAATACTGTTAAGCCTGGTTCACATATAATCGCAGACGGTTGCAGGCAATCGCAAGATCGCTGAAACCACTCAACCAAAGATCGCAAATCGCATGTTCACATAATGATCCATGACACAACCGATCAGAGCGATCTGTGACAACTGAGTTCATGGTTTACCATTCAGCAGCAATACAATGTAACTCCAATCAACCAACGAAAACGCAAAGGACACCGAACTTTTAATAGGTGTTAACATTCTGCTTCTGTTGTCTTTACTTAAACAGAGAATTGTTGCCAGACCAAAAATGAAACGTTGCTTCTTGGTGTAGAAAGTCTTAAGAAAGAGAGAGTTCATTGCTAAAGCGATTGAAAATACAATCGTACTTTTCTAATTTCTTCCATAAACTGTTCCATGTCAATTTCACCTTCCATCTTGTCAAAACACATGCACATGTAAAAGTTGATAAACAATTGGTTGTCATGATGTCATGCCGCTTGCATAGCATTATTAGACATATTTCAATTGCATGATCGCAGAACTTTGTTCACGTATGATTGCACTCGATCGCATGAATAGAACATGGTTCTATTCCTGCGATCGTGATCACACTTGATCACACATGATCACAGAGCTGTTCACATATAATTGCAGACGATCGAGTGCGATCGCCTGCGATCATATGTGAACCAGGCTTTACACTCAAGAATTAAGCAAGTATCTGAGTAGGTTTGTTAGGATGTGGTAATAAGCACTTGTCGGATAACAGTACCTCCATCTGTGGCTTCCCTTTTCTTATCATGCACCAATCGTAGCAGCTTAGTTGCCATCCTAAATTCAGGAAAATGAGTAAAACAAGTAGAGAATTGGCTAAATACAGAAACAATTGATTTGAAATGACATTTAAAATGTGTTCAGAAAAATGTATCAAGTACTTTTTGATCTTCTCTTCTTGTTTCCTTGCATACTTCTTTAACTCCTGTGGCAATAAAAATTTTTATATTATCTAATAATAATCAAGGTAATAATAATCAGGGAAACATCAGGTCCAGGGAAAACAAAACTAACTAGTTTCCGGAGGGACCATAGATTAAGTGCTTTGTTATAATTATGTTTTGACTTTCCCTAAAACAATCATCATGTGGCAAAAACATGCAGTTGTATTCTGCGTGTGGGAAACAATTACACAATTGTGTATCCTGGTTGGGATACATTTTAATTTGATCAGGGGTATATGACCAAGAATCAACCAATCACAATGCTCATTTTGTTTAGTGATAATTATACCAACTGTACCATCATAGCATTACCTCATTTCAAATGAACTAGATTACAACAAGAACTAGGTAGCAAAAGAAAGAAAGAAAAGTTTCTAAAACAACCACAAAGCAAAATCTCTCAACCATTTTTCCAGCCTATTGTGCAAACTAGACGAGGATCTACATGTTGTGCAAGTACGTGTGCAGGTGTATGTATACATTTAGGTGTAATAATTAGGTATCTTTTAATTCTCTAGTGCCAAATTCAAAATACGAAGACACCTCTCTAAAATCTATTAGGTATCTGATATATACATTACAGACATATCTTACTTATCAAAGGTCTGAATCAGTATAGAAAATGATTCAACAAGAAAAAAGTAACGTGACTTGGAGTTATACATGACACTGTACTTGTATACCTGATTGTCCTCCTGAAGCCTCAAATACTTGTCTTCAAGTTCCTCTCTGCTTATCTTGGAGATCAACTGGCGAGCATAGATCTCACTGAAAGGTCTTCCGTCTACAAGAAGTATGGATCACAAAGTTCCTAAGTTTTCCATTCCTGCAAATATGTGCCTTAACATGCATGAAAATTATGCCTATAGGTATAATACAATAGACGCTATTCTTATTCAATGACATGTAAATGATGTGGCAGGGTATTCTGAAGTTTAGCCAAAGCTATCTACGAAAGCCAATACCTCCATCCTCAGCAACGGAAAACGAGGGAGGTCCGTCCATGGCTGAAGCAACTGGCATACCACGATCGAAAATTATCAGCGGTAATGATCACCACGGCCACAGAACCCGTAACTCGTTACTCTGATCCACTTTCTTTGAATGTTTCCGCTCATGGCACTCTCACGATGAGACCAAAAAAGTAATATGTGTTTTTTTTCGCATTAAATATTTTCTTTTGAAGCTGTCTAATAAAATTAACGCATCAAACCTTCGTTACTACTGGTGTTTCATCCTGAGAGTAGCCTCGCGCCGGCGGTAAGTCGCCGATTTTAAAACTGAATTCCCAGCGGTCATACGTCAAAGGTTATGCCTTTGTTGTCTTCCCCAGGTTCTCAGAGGTCGATTGGATTCTTAACAACGGGGTATGGGAAGCAAATAGACGGAAGAATACGAGTAGAGAATTCTCAAGCTCGACCACGATTACGGTGTGAAATTTCGGCCATAACTTTTATAGCCTGGAGCAGGCCAACGGTATCTTTTGGACAATCCTCTGAATCAATCTATTCAGAAGAAAGAAAATATGAGAGTTCTTGTAGGTGTGTTAATGCAGTTACGTAACATGTACCCATGTGCATGTGAATTTTCTTTTCGTATGTTTATCATCTCATTTAATGCAATAATTATATATGGGACATTTACATTTGCTTTTGTTCCCTTTTTAACACTACCATCGCAGCACTGCTGTAGATCATAAACCATAAACATAAACTTTTTTTTAACTATACTGAAAATGTTTGCAGAGACAGGACACAAGCTTGTGTCCACCCCACCTTCTGTAAAGAGGTCTCCCATTTTCCCTAACAAAGGTATTTTATTACTTATTGCCTGTGTCAAAGAGCATGTCATACGCACCTTTTACATGGCATCCAATTTTCACCTATGTTTGAAAGCATTTATAACAAATAGAGATATTACCAGCACCCTGATTGGTCTAAAACCCATCGTTTATTCACCGGTAAACAATTCGTAAGTTAAAGTTTATTTTATGAAGCATGAATATCATGTACTTTCCATTGGTTTTTCTGGTTTAACTCTAAAGCATTTAAATATAAGATAACTGAGAGATTACTCGCACCCTGATTGGGTGGAAACCTTTCATTTGTTGCACTCACTGGTAAACCCCAAGGAAAGTTAAACTTTATTTTATGAAGCAATAGACTGCACTTTCTATTGATAAATTATACTTGCAAAATAAACTATGTGGGATGATGAGAGAACACTTGAAAAGTTAGTGTATCCCTTAGCTCCAGCTCATGATTATCAAACTCTTCTTGTATTCTCCTGACATCCAGAGTGAGTTATTATGCAGGTGAACCAGTAGAAAGAGCAGTTTGTTGCTTAAATAAAGCCCACTGTTGACTGGGACTTTTTTTCAGGAGGGGGAACAGGATTTATTGGCAGAGCCTTGGTAGAGGCCTTGAAACGAAAAGGACATGAGGTCACCATTATTTCAAGGAGTCAGGCGCCTGGAAAAATAACTTGGGTAAGAACATTAAGATATTTATGTCTTCATGGAACTAATCTGACTAATTTATGTTTCAAGCATATTGCAAGGTTTTATTTCTGTATGGTTTCAATCGGTATGTACTGGTAGTTTGGAGGAAACAGATGTGTAGGGTCATTTAGCATGTATGATAGCAGCACATCCATGCCATCTGTGGTCAAATGCCCCCCCCCCTCCATACACACACCAGGCCCAGTTGTTTGAAGGGTGAATTAGGCCATAAATCGTTAAATGGTGAATAGTGCAGGGTGTTTTGTTAACAAATACTAGCTGGATAGCAATTTATCCGTAAGAAAGAAATATCTACCTTTTGAACAACTGAGTCCAGAATTTAAAATTGTCAGTCATACAGAGGTTGGGAAATGATGTGACTGCTTTGTTTTCAAACAGAGTGAGATTGCAAAATTGCCTTTGCCAGAATGTGAGGCTGTAGTAAATCTTGCTGGAGAGAACATTCTTAATCCGCTCAAAAGGTAATAATGCTATGGTATTGTTAAAAGTAAAGGGAAAGTAAGTGCTGGGGGTATTCAGGGGTTTCTGCTACGTAAGAGGCGCCATAATTATATTCTCCCGCTTGTCAGAACTGAACGTTTCAAGAGGACTTTTGTTAATAGATGTTTGTTCTCTTATTAGTTAGTCAGTTAGTAATTTAGTTAGTTCATTAGTTTTATACTTGCTGAGTTCATATCATTGTAACTAAACACGTTTGTTGTTTAGAATGCTTAATAAAGACTTTTACTTCTTTTGTTTTGATGACACTAATGAAAAGCAATGATTGAGCAAGGTGCAATGATTGAGCAAGGTGTAATGATGAAGTGCAAATGAATAAAATCTTATGCCAAAGAACTTATATGAACTTACAAACAAAGAGAAATTATTCAAAGAAAAAGTAACAGAATACCATTGAAAACAGAGTGTAGAAACAAACGAACTTAATGAAAATGGAAGAAAAAGAAAACGAACAAACTTGTTACAATAACAATCAAAATGAATGAAAATGTGACAGAGAAAAAAGATGCATACAAATTAAAAAACAAATGCAATTTTGGCGTCAACACGACTAGTATTGTACATAATGAAGTATAAGTAGGGTTTAATTACATAGTCAATCATGGTTGGCGAGTTAAGTTGTTATCACTTAATTTTTGTCAAAGCCATCTCATGACTGAATAGCAAAAAAAAAAATTAAATCTTTATTTTGCACTTTTGAACAGGTGGAATGAGGGGTTCTTACAGACACTGAGGGATAGTCGAATAGAAACAACTAAAACCTTGGCAAAAAAAATATCAGAGGCATCAAATCCTCCAAAAGTGTTTGTCTCCTCTTCTGCTGTTGGTGAGCTCTTTTCAATATAACAAAGAGTGCAATATATGTGTTCAAAAGCCCTTGTGGTTTACCCAAGAGGCCAAAATCTCATTCTAGGCTAAGTGCTGCGATCCATTTGGTTGGCTTTATAGCCAGAAATACTTTTGTCTTGTAGTGCTAATAATGAGGAACACTGAGGGCTTGCTTATAGTACACCAGCCTTTTACTAAACCTTGTGACTCACTTTATCTCTGCCACGGCATGCTGTTTAGAGCTATTCTTTGTTTTATATTCAATTTCACCAATATAAATTTCCCTTGAAGAAAATGCTGAATTTCATACCCAATGTATTTCTATTTTACTTTATTTCCATGTGAGCTTGTGCAACTCAAAACTTAGGAAAACTCTTACATGACATTGAGAGAGAGAGTGGTATAGAAATAACTACACACATATTGCACTTGTTGCTAACTAAACTTCATGCATGAAGACCTTGCAAGTAAAATGCATCTCACCACAAATTTGTTGTGATGTGGGATTCTCATCACTCTCCTTATTGAATTATGACTCCCAAGAGTGACCAACGTCTAGTTTCTCCTTACACAATCACTCCTCAATCAAATATTAAGGTCACAAGAATAAAAGGAATGATCACTGAGTAAAGAAGCTCTTGATTCTTAAACAGGCTCTCCTTGTCATCACCTAAGAGAAATGTATAGAGAACAGTATGGAGAATATACATACTGACGTTAGGGTGTAAAAGATTAAAGGATATCAAAAAAAAAAATAGTGGGTATTTTCATTTTAGGCTACTATCCTCCAAGTGATACTGCAGAATACACGGAAGATTCACCTCCAAGCTCTGCAGATGCGCTGACAACACTCTGTGCTGATTGGGAGAAAAGTGCTAAGCTTCCCGATGGCTGTAAGACAAGGCTGGTCACCTTAAGAATTGGAGTTGTATTGGGCCGTGGTGGAGGCGTGATACAGCAGACGATTTGGCCATTTTGGTTCGGTCTGGGAGGTAAAATAAGATTCGTATAAAATTCGGCTTGTTAGCTCAATTGGTAGAGCGCTGCACTAGTATCGCAGAGGTCAGTGGTTCGAATCCCGTACAGGCCAGATTTTTTTTTCAGGTCTGATTTTCGCTATTGCTTAAATAGCGCTATCTAAGTTGCGAGGATCGTGCATTATACGTATCTATAACCGCAGTTCAAAAAAAAAAAAAAAAACAACAACAACAACAAAAAAAAGTATATGATCTTCATATATTCATCATATCTGTAAAGCAAAATTCATAGTAGCCTCAACATTTTCCTATTCCACGCATTCCATCACGCATTGGATTACGCATTGTGTTGGATGGACAAAATGGAACTCCATCCTCAGAAAATGGAACCAGGATTATTTATTTTTTCCCTTTCTTTCATTTCAGGAGTACTAGGTAGCGGTAAACAATATTTCCCTTGGATCCACGTGGACGACATGACGGGAATAATTTTTCACGCCCTGGAGAACGATCACGTGACTGGTGTATTAAACGCAGTAGCACCGCAAGTCGTTACAAACGAGAGTTATACGAAAGAGTACGCAGGCGCGCTGTGGAGACCTGCCATTTTGCCAACTCCTTCGTTTGCAGTCAATTTTATCTTTGGTCAGGATCGCGGAAAAATACTTTTGGAAGGACAGAAAGTTATTCCTAAACGGACGTTAGAGATGGGATACAAGTTCCAATACCCAGAGCTAAAACAAGCGTTAGCAGAAATTGTGAAATAAAAAACTTTTCTGTAGTCTTTTGCGTAGCGGTGGTACGGTGTTGTCACGCAACGCATTCTTTCGCGTATTTCGTGAAGGAATCAAACAGCGGCATTGAAAAAAACCAGATTTTTTCGAGGCATTTATTTCATGACTTTGAGGACTTTTGCCGTTATGGAGAGTCTAGTATTGTTGGATTTTTAAGAGTTTTGTGAAAGAGAAAACCGTGTTCAAATTATTGCAGTGTTATTAAAGGCTAACAACCTGTCTCCATCATGGTTACTTCGTTATGAGGAGAAAAAAGGATCTTGTAGTATGTTATGACTGATGGCTGGGATACCATTGACACTATATTGTTCTACATGAATAACTCAAGAAAGAAATAAACCTTTAATACAAGATACTTCATCTATTTTATTTCTGATACAAACTAGGAATTTAAAGAAGCAATTATTTGAAGAAAATTTACCGAAGAAAGACAAATTTTATATTCCCCTTAGCTTTCCTCCATTTTTTCTTTGTTACAGTTCAAAGCATAACATTCGGTCGCGTTTTTTGGTTACCAGAGTCGCCATTTAGATTGGAACCAATCAGGGAATGACGGAAATAACGGCGATGGGAGAAGCCGATTATTGTGTGTTTCTCAAGTACTATATCTAGCTGGGGTAAAAAAAAAAAAAAAAATCAAACTAAGGTTAAGAAAATCTAAGTTCAATAAACAATCATTTATCTGTCGTCGATATCGTGATCACTTTTATAATGAGCCCATTGGGCGTCAGTGGACGTGATCCAGTTATTAGCGATCCATTTGACCCCAGACCACAGCCCACAGCCGCCATGAAGTGAGTACTCATCCATCTCTCCCATCCATCCTGTTTCTTCATCTAAAAAATGATTATACCACATGACTGCCTTGCCTCGCTTCGGTGTTACAACAACGTTTCCATCGTGACAGTATTGCATCAAATTGAACTTATCTACTTTCATGGTGTCGAGGTAAGTCTGTGGAGAAGAGATAAGGAAACGGTAGTTCTTCATAACTTAGTGAGTACAATGTCCCCTTCAAAGGACCAATATCTGCGGAGTGAGAGAGCCTGTATGCTTTGCAGGCATTTATCGGCCTAGCTGGTCCTGCGAGAGGCAGTTAGTTGTACTGTTTCGTTAAATGAAAATCAGAAAATCTGAATTTTTCTTAAGGGTGACAGTGTTGGTTTGAGTTTCATGATACGCATCTCTTTTCATCACGGGAGATGTTCTTCTGAACGAGTTCCCGGTTCGAAGCAAAACAATTCTTCACAAATTTAACTCATTTAATTTTACGAAAACAAAAAGCTACATCAGTGAGACAAAACAACATGGCGGTCATCTGACCTTATGGTCAAACTAGTTCCCAGTCCTTCTAAACAGGAGATACCATTTCTTGAACTTCAAAGAACTCGTGTGATGCCATTGCTATTCATTGTGGTTTAATACACCCTAGCTAATTAATATCAAAACAGTTTTTTTCTTCACCTTCACCACACCCCTCCCCCCCAGAGAACCACGTTCATTGGGGGAAGGGGTGGTGTAAAGGTGAAGCAAAACGTTCCTTCAATTCTTATGATATCACATTCCTCTGTTATTGAAAACGTAGCTAAAGGCCAGCCGTCTCGACCCATTTCTCCATAGGATGAAATTAGAATTCCCAGATTGACTCAATTCTGAAATTTAAATCGTTTGTTTATGAAGCGTTCTTAGAGTAACGAACCTTTCTATCAAAAGTTGTTTCATCTACAACAGGAAATGCGGTTTCTCCTCCTTCTTCCACGTCATTGAGATAATACAACACAGTAGCATATCTGTAACAAAACATTCAAGTTGGTCAGCTTCGCAGATTAAGTGCACTTTGATAGAGTAATTTCCAAGATGTACGTGGAATTTGAATACAAGGCTTTTCCCTATTCGATGCAGAAGCGTGGTGAGGGAAATTCGAAGGTCTGGGGTTCGATTCGTCACGGGAGTCACAATTTGTTTTCGGACCCAAACTCGTGAAAAGACGGAAAACATCACTCTATATTCCACCGCCTTGTACAAAATTTACCACCTCGTGCGATATCTACTCATTAAAAAATTTCTCTAAAGCAGCTCTTGCTCTAATGATCGTCGTACCAGCTGCTACAGGTGTTCAATACTAATGTTACCTGCAGACTCTACAATGTGGAAGCAAAGAGAGTTCCAGATGACAGCATTTCACGTGTGATTGGTTCGTTACGGGTTGGCTGTCATAGTGTGCGTTATAATGTCCATCTTCAGTGTATTTGACCACCTGACGATTTAAAATTAACTGCTGTCACAACAAAGTTTTATCACTCAAAGCACGGAGAGATAGCTCTACGTGAAAGTGTTGAGATTGCTCCAAGAGACGATTGATAATTCATTTTTCTTTTATATAAGCAGCCATTTGCAACTGCTTGTCTTGGAGCCAGACATCGCAAGAGTCCATCCTCCACCATCCTCCATACTGCTCGAGTAGCTAGTTTTCTATGGCCTTTCCACAAGAACTGGCTCTGGCCGGGTAATCAATGATCAGTTTACGATCCTTGATCAACAAATAATGGATGAGGTTGAGTATGATTTTCAGGATTATCAAGGCGGGGCCCATACTGTCTGTCGAAGCCGAAGGATGAGGTGGATTACTCTCTTTGTCATGCGAAAAAGAAACCAAATAATAATTTTTTGATCAAAATTGCTTATGAATTAAGGAGTTGCTGTGGCTGTAGCACAAACCTGTAAAGGTTCACCTCCTCGTATGATTTTATCGGAAAGCCTTAACAGCTTAGAGAGCCTGTGAAAACAAAAACAGACATATATATATATATATATATATATATATATANTAATGCTAAAAAAAACTCCATACAATTCCATATAATTTTATGCTAAGGAATTGTATGGAGCTCTCCGAGATACTTACAGTGCAAGCCCCGTGTGTCTTCTCATGATACATTACAATTTTCTCTTTCTTGAAAAGGGGTGAATGGGGGATGTGGCCTTGTCATTGTTAACGCGGGATCCACTGTCATTGGCTAAAGCTGTAGTGGTCTCCCTGCCTGAGATAATTAGGCGAAGCTAAATATATATATATAAAAAAGTATAATGTGTGGTAGTCGGAAAAAACAACTACATATACATCCCTACAGACCTGTTTCGCGGTTGCCCACTCATAAGGGGATTTTTTAAAAAAATTATATATATATATTGTTATATATATATATATATATGTAAGGAAGTAGCCGCTACCGTTGAATAGTGCTCAATACACATGTGCGGAGCTTAATAAAGTGGGTAGCGATCAAACAAGACGACACATGGTTTCTGTTACTCGGAGTTTCGTGCTTACGCACTCATCAGACAGATTTAATGATGAGTACGTAAGTAGAAGTAGATATCTATATTTATACAGGATAGCTCCTTCAGTGTAGTAAACACTGGTATCAACGGGGGTCCTGTTACCCACCCATCCCACCCCAGGGGAGGACATCCATCACACAGTAATCTCGTGCGTGGGAAATTAACGGGACCTCCATTTATTCGTCCCTGTCCGAGAAGACTAGAATATCTAATCATTTCTTGATGTTATAGAAAGGTAGCATATTCTTCTCAATTATTTTAAGACCCTGAGTGTTGGTCCGGCCGGGGTTCGAACCCTCGACCTCCGGCACAATAGTCCAGCGCTCTGTCCATTGAGCACGAAACTCCGGCGGAGTAACACAAACCATGTGTCGTCTTGTTTGATCGCTACCCACTTTATTAAGCTCCGCACATGTGTATTGAGCACTATTCAACGGTAGCGGCTACTTCCTTACATATATATATATATATATATAACAATATATATATATAATTTTTTTAAAAAATCCCCTTATGAGTGGGCAACCGCGAAACAGGTCTGTAGGGATGTATATGTAGTTGTTTTTTCCGACTACCACACATTCTACTTTTTTATATATATATATTTAGCTTCGCCTAATTATCTCAGGCAGGGAGACCACTACAGCTTTAGCCAATGACAGTGGATCCCGCGTTAACAATGACAAGGCCACATCCCCCATTCACCCCTTTTCAAGAAAGAGAAAATTGTAATGTATCATGAGAAGACACACGGGGCTTGCACTGTAAGTATCTCGGAGAGCTCCATACAATTCCTTAGCATAAAATTATATGGAATTGTATGGAGTTTTTTTTAGCATTATCCTAAGCGCGGTGGGTGTTGTCACACATGATCCTCGCAATGGTCATACATGACAACACCCGCCGCGCAACGACTAACGCTAAAAAAGCTACATACAATTCCTTATAATAAAATTATAAGGAATTGTTTGAAGCTTTCTGGGATACTTACAGTGCAAGCCCTGTGTGTCCTCTCATTCATCTCCCAATTAAAACTGAGGTGTTTACGATCGTCCATGGGAAAGTTACCAGATCGATTTTGGGTCCAGTTATTCGGCTCACCTCTTTCGTAATGTTTGTAACAAGGGGTCTGCTCGCTTGCCTTGAATCAACCAGGCCTGGTTACTAAACCTATCCCTGTGAGCTGGATGCTTTTCTTTGATTTCGTTCATATACCCATCCATGGCGGCGGTTGGCAGCGTGGTAAATTCTACTGGGGTCACTTGATCTATGATGTATTGATAAAAATGTCAAGAGCGGATTTCGATCAATTGTCGTGATGACTCAACCTCGTTCCCAGGGCCTTTTCCCTTAGCCCCACCCCCAGCTCCACCCCCAACTAAGGGAAAAGGCTGTGGGAACGAAGCTGGTGATGACTAAACCAAAGTAACCACGACACACACCCCCCTGGGCAACGCCCGGGCATTTAAACTTTTGAGAAGTTGTGTTCAAATGCCCCACCAATTTTTTTTTTCTACAAAGCAAAATCAGCGAACGGCGACTTTCTATACATTTACCAAGCTTTAAAACCTTGACCTTATAGACCTTTCCTTATTCGCGGAAGGGAACTATCACACTTAAACACCTCCATATTTAAAGATATAACGCCTGTATTTCGCTGGAAAGACTTGGCACTTCCGATTCAAGTTCCCAACGCTAGTCAGGCGAGGTTCAGATCCCCCACCCCCCGGGCACGGACGACGCCCATATGCCCGTGGGTTGCCGGGTTGGGGGAGGGGGGGGAGGTTGATGTTGACGCTTCGGATCGATCGGCACACAATTAAAAAGGAAAAACAAGAAACCAGCTGAAATTGCAGAAAAATACGAGTAACCGAGTCTCAATTGGATGGTTTTAGCTTTGCATTTGATTGGTTGATATGGATGTTCAAGTTTTACTGACTGAACACGTAGAGAGGTGATGCGTAGCCATTGCAAACCCGGACTATTTTCGTCACTCAAGCAGAAACTGCTTAAAGAAGAGGAGAGAAATATTGTATTTGCTTGCAGGAAAGTGGTTTATTTAGCTACTCACCATCATCAAACTCCCAAATGTTCAGCTTGGTTATCCTAAAACGGGAAAGAAAAGTTGGAGTTTATACGTAACAGGAACTGTGCCTTCAAGTTAAAATCGTGAAGAAGAAAACTGATGATAGGCGATACTTACATGTCATCGACTTCTGTTGGACTCAGATAAAGATATTTGAAATCTGCTGCAAAGTCAATTATCTAAAGGAAAGAACAAAGTAACGCATTGTTGTAATGTCAAACGATGACGGTAGAAAGATTTTCGGACTTTTTTTCGAGGGAGTATCGTAAAAATGAAACCGAAATATTCCCAACTACAAATTACATTTGATGAAGATATCACAAGTAACCAATTAAAATTTAAAAGAATAACGTGGTCGATTGCTTGATGAGCTGGAAAACGTGAGTTGCACCAAGTTGCGATTGGTCAGGTTTTATTCTTGCATCTGATTGGCTGAGAGGGTGGCCAGAGTTCTCTTAGCCAATCACAGAGCCAAGCAAGGCTTTTTTTGTGCTGCTAAAATTGATAAATCAATTCTCTTGTAAAAGTGTAATTTTAACCTCATCCCTTGTGATGAGTCCGTCTTCATTTTTGTCCCAGTTTAGGAACTTTCCCACAGAGCCACTCGCATTTCCTAAAGAAAAATGATGGTTAAAATGAACAATATCGAATAAGAGGCCCATAGAGTTGAATTATTCCTGGAACTTGCCGGTCTATGATACAGAAGTTAATTTGAATGAGCTGCGTCAAGGTTTGTGGATTAAGAGAGAAATCATGTCACTCATTCTCCAGGCTTTTTTTCAATTTACACCGTGGCTATTATAACTGAATTCATATTATTTTTAAATAGTTACAAAAGTGAAATTGATATATCAATTGATAAATAGATAAATGAGGAACAAAAAGAAAATTGAAAGTTAGAGGGAGAACTTATGAAAAACGCGCAAGCACCCTTAGCTGTGAGACACTCCACCTAGTTAACAAAGTAAATGGAATATTTAGCCTCAAGGTTTTGCAGGATATATCTTTGTGGTCCATCACAATCTTATTCATCGATCATTGTTTCGTTCTGTTCTATTTCAGTTCCTCTTTGATGGTTTTCTTCTCTTCTGTTTATAGACAAATACACCAAGTCTTGTGCCCAGACCTTCCACGACCAAGAGGTTGTACACGGTAGGATCTGGTAACAAGATGAAGATGCACCCCACTCCCCAGTTTAGACGCAAAAAATAAGATTCCAGTCATCACAACATAGCTCCTATCTCAGAAACGAGTTAATAAACTGAAACTTTTGGGGATCCTCCTCGTTACCAAGCCTCCTTGTTAATTAGCATACCTCTTACAAATTCTTTGTTTTTCTCGAGTTCCTCATCGAGGTGAAGGTCGCTTCCTCGGAGGCCGACCTTTTCAGCTAAACTTATGATGTGGTTGGATTCGCTTTCGCTAAGAAAGTCTGGAATTTCTATAACCAAATAAAGAATAATATCGTAAATTTCGTTATGTAGCAAGAAAGTGTTTATTATTTGTGGACATTGCTGACCTGAATTTTCTTGAATCGATGCCATGATATGCACTGAGCAATCAATTGGACCAATCGCTGATTTCGAAGGGGAGCTGGGAACATTATGCCATGTATTTTCATCGAATATAAGGTATACAGCGTAATTGATAAAGAGAGATAGATTTAGCTAACTTTATATGAATAATCATTGACTGGGAGGCTGCAACCCTCCCTAGCGAGGGCAAAGAAGGGCAATCAGGCTATAATTAAGACGATATACAGAGACTTCTTGATATACAGGTAGCAGTTGCTATCTTGATCTAACACCAAATTCTCGTAACTGATTTACAAGAAAATGTGCGCCAGCCAGAGGGGAAGAATTAACAATCAGATCTTGGGAATCAAATGTTAAACTCACCAAATAGAGGAGGCTTAGATGCCAGTGTTATCATCTTGTATGTTTTTCCTTCTTCAAGTTCAAGCTCTCTCACGTGACCTTTCTATGTTGATCATAACACATTATTAGTATTCGTAATCTCCATACGGTTGTCTTAACATTTCCTAGGGTGCTGACGAGGAGAATTTGTTTGACAATCAGGAGCTTCATAAATTGATGATCGTTTCCTTTATTCTCATGACCTTTCAGTTCAATCAAAGGTGATTATGCGAGGAGAACATAAAAGCCAGATAGTCATAGGGGCTCACTCACAGGGTCTCACTTATAGCGGTTTAAGGGTTAAAACAGGTTTTAAAAATTTCAATATTCACTCCTCTCTTTTTCCTCGAAAGCGAATTCAGCATTTTTGCAAAGGCGTCTCACCCCCACCACAAAGTTCTCAATGATCTAATTTGTGCAACAAAAATGATGATTTTTCTCCTAATTTTTTTAGCTATAAAGCTGCTTTGAATACTGTTTATTTAAAGTAGCAGGTGTCCTGTTCAAGGTTCTGTTACTATTTTTGCTGGTACCACGTGCTAATTTTGGTTTTATTTTGAAAATGGCGCCATTGCATAGTTTTTAACTTGAGGAGTTGTAGCACAATGCACGTATCTATCTAGTCTGAAACACATAGCTTTGTGCCGTACACGTACTTACATTATTACAGTGTGTACATTATAGTGCGACTACATAGATCGACCTATGGGGCGAAACCGCTGCTTCAAGCTATGGTTTCAGTAGATTGTAATGGAAAAAACTGTACTGAGAAGCCCACTTTTTGTACTCTCCCTGAATTACCTTTATCTTTATTTGATTATATTTTTATTTAGCAACATACCTTGACAGGATCCCATCTGAACAGCCTCGGTTCGTCATCACTGGGAATACACGGTCCTTTGTCTTGCTCCCTGAAACAGACGCCATTTTCGCAAGACTTGTCGAGTTGCTTGGGCGTATCACTGCTTACAGTTTGCGTTAAGTTGATGGTAAAAATAAAGGAAATAATTAGAATTTTTTTCTTGTTCCTCCTAAAACTTTCAAGTCGTGAACTTGTTTTGTTCATATTTGTTAGAATACTGCGCAATTTTCGCAAAAGTGTATTTCTGCCAAGTTCGCTGCACGCGACGTCTATTGGTTGCTGTGATTTCAGTGGAGTTTCTTTAAATATTTAATATTAATTTAATATTAAGGACCCTGCATCAGACGAAAAGACTGTTCTATGATTTTAAACTGTCCTTGATTTCGATAGATCGAGACAATTGAACCGATTCAAGAGCACAAAAAGATCAAGATTGGAAGGAAGCTTCTCCTGTCAACTTAAGCGCTATAAATAGCACACCAGTCCTGCAAAATTATGTTTTAGTGTATTCTTACCAAATTGACTCAGATAAGAGCCCACGGTACTCAGACTGGTTTACACGTTAAGAAGTAATGCTATTCCCCCTGGATACGATGCTGATCTATTTTGGATTAACACAATTAAGAGTATTGCCGGACAGGCGTAAAAATGGAGGACTGAAATCATAATACCAATAGCAGAATACAAAGATTACTACGACTGCTAAAACTGCAGATGAACTTACATAGTGCAATAGCTATCAAACTTGAGAAAATTAATTATTTCTTATCACTAACTGAAAAACTATTCATTTGCAATTCAGTTCGCCAGGAGTCATTTCAGTTGTAGATTTGAGTGCGTCCGTTAGGATTTAAATATACTAAAAGCAATAAGAATAGAAAAAACGTAAATATTAAGTCTAACTGAGCTGTTCGCTGGAGAGATGCACTGTTCGAAAAAAGCCAAAAGACATGTAGCAATGATCTTAGGCAAAAGATATGTGCGCCATAAACGGTGCCATGGCGTCATTCACATACAGTGACGGCAAATCAATGGATGGAGTCAGTACAACGTAATTAAACTTGACACAGCCGGTTGTAAAAAAAGGAGTCACTTTTATCTAATTAAATCATTTACCTAACTTCAGTTCAATATTTTAACTTTACGTCATGTTCCGGAAAGAGCCTAACTGTGGACTGGTGACTTTGTTTGGGGTAATAAGTTAACAGCCACAGTAGACTCATGGCATACAATCTTTCAAGAATAATGTTAAAAAAGTTGAAAATCCTGAAATGGCTTTGCAATTTGTTTTACCAGTAACTTAAAATCATTTACTCTGAAAGTTAATTCGACTCGAACAAAGACAGAATTTTAAATCATGATCACTACCTAAAAATGCTAAATACCGCACAGAAAAGCGCTAGATTCAGTTTATCTCAAAATTTTATGAGTTCAAAGTTTTTCTTCTTCTTCTTCTTTGATTTCAAAGTTACTTCTTATGTGCGCAAGTGGTGCGTCAGGGGCAGTAATCCAGTTATTTGCAATCCATTTGATTCCCCTCTGCACCCCACACCCCCCGTGAAGGGTGTAATCGTCCCTTTCTCCCAGCCAGCCAGTCTCTTCGTCCACGAAGTGATTATACCACATGATAGCCTTGCCTCGCTTTGGGGGGACCACTAGTTTGGCAGCATGGCAGAATTCCATCAAGTTGAATAAATCATCGCTCATGGTTTTGATGTACAACTGCGGGAACGTGGAGGAAATAATATCGTTAGGTATCTTCTTTGAAACTCTTACTGTTGTGCTCTGTGTGTCTACGATTTCACTGTTGATTTCACTGTTTTTCTTTTGCAGGCGAAAATAAAATTGAATTTAGCAGTTGCGCAACTTCGTCAGTTGGCTTTAAGCAAGTTGACTTTAAGCAAGTTTTGGTAAAAAAAAGAAAGCCAGATAATAATTACTGTACAGGACGAGAAACAACAAAAAAACTCAACGCATATGGTACGCCAGATTCTAAAATCGAAGCCGGGCGTCAGTGGGTGGTAGACGAGTGCCTTTGTGACAAAGTCATCCCCGGTCTCCCCATGAGGCATCACTCTTCCAAAATGTCCATCAATAACAGACTTAAATTAGCTAAAGTTTCTGAGCAAGAACAACGATATATTTTAGCCATTTTAGCCTTTTTAACCCACATAGCAAATCCCACAAACCCAAATAGTTAAAAAAACACAACAAAAGTACCGACCAAGTTTGAACAATTTTTATTGACACGTCGAAAAAATTGGAGATTATAATGATTTTGCTTCCCAACCAGTCGCATCGAAAACTAATAATCAACTATTTTACTGATTGCAGGGCCTTAGTAGCCATTACTGTTTTGATGTCACTTTATCACTGACCTGTTGATCGAACGTTTCATTGTCAGCAACTGGAAAAGCTGTTTCTCCGCCCTCCTCGACGTCATTTAGGTAATATAGTATAGTAACGTATCTAAAAAGGAACAGAAGAAATTTTACTTCGACTGACTTTAGATTGACCATCACACAAGAATGAGCCTCAATATTTGCAGATTTCTTCTTACTTTCTGCAGGATGAAAAACATTCCTACCGCGCGGAATGAAATACCGCAAGAATTCACCGCTTACAGTTCTGAGAATACTCTATGGGAATAGGCAAAGGGTAGGACATGCCTTTTGTTTAACTTCGCTGTTGCTTTATTTCGTTGGGAAGTAAGTTTCGATGTTTATTAGAATTTTAGTAAATTATCAGTTTATCAGAATCAGCTTTACCCCATAAAGACAAACTCAAACGCAGATATAGTGTTTTATGGAATATAAAAACCAACTTTGAGCGTTAAACATCTCTTTTATTCTCTCCAATGGAGCAGCCAGCCCTAAATATGACAGTATGGGCCGTTTTTCCCGAGAACATACCATACTAACCTACAAAGTCTGCAGGCTGGTATCTTGGTGACGTTCAGGTGACAGCACTTGAGGTGCGAATGAGAAGCCACCGGCTGTGCATCGTGGTGAACATTGTAATGACCATTTTTATCATACTTCACCACCTGAGGGTTGAAAGCAACAC